GCCACGCACATGAGGATCCGGCACAGGCGGATGTCCGGCGGGTAGACCCAGCAGGCCGCCGTGGGGCCGGCACTCCAGCACCCCGAGGTCCTGGACCACGCAGGTCCCCCACAGGCCGAGCTGGTAGCGCTCCGCGGGCAGCAGGTCGGTGGAGAGCGTGAGCCACGTGGGCACGAGGGCGGTGGCCAGCGAGCACAGCCAGGCCCCCCCGCATATCAAGACCCCCGACAGCTCCAGAGCGCAAACGCTCGGGTCCACGGCGTTCGCCATCTCACGGCCCCCGGGTCGTCTGTATGCCTGGCGTCGGGCAGGGGGGAGGGGCTCCTCGCCACGCCATCGCCCCTTACAGGAGAATATCCCGCCCGGGCGTCCAGCAGGAGGAGTGAACCACAGTGTGCGAGGAGGAGCTGCCTCCTCCCCCTCAGTCGGGCGGGGAAGCCGATTGGCTGCCGCTGGAAACAACAGCATCATTGAGCCACAGACGGGATGCGATGGAATCACACATCTCTGCTCGGTGCGGCGGCACTTTGGACTACAAGGAATTAGAGAACCCTTCATCTCAAAGTGACGACAGAGGGGCCTTTAAACGCGCTCATATGAAAGATAAAGGCCGTTAAATGACCATCTGGGCTCAGCCGTCATTTGTCTTTTTTCCTGCCACTGAACGTCGGGACAGCCAGGTGCATGCTGGGTAGTGGAGACCCAAAATCCTGTCCCCTGCAAGTGTTTGACACAAGCAGGTCAAAGGTCAAGACACTTTTCAGATTCTCTTCCTTGCAAAAATATTAATGATCAGTAAAGAACATACAAGGCAATTAAAAATGTGATCACATAAGGACGAATGCAGTCAACTAAATTATTTAAATAGTCAAAACTAGAAGATGCCATTTGACATTTTATTTGTTAAAATAACGAAATAGGTTAATCTGTTATGATAAACATATTTACACTTTTTATCCGTCATGGCGGGGGGGGGGGGGTCAGGACTTAACCAGCTCCAGTTTGGTTTCAGTAGTCGACGACGCTTCCACGATTTCTCCCGACTTGAAAAACTCCTAAAACAAAAGACCACATATGAGACTTTTATTCCCACAGAGACGGCTTCCACGTGCAGGTCTTATTTTGAAGGACGGTGCCAAGAGCTTCCTCCTGCTCTTGTTTTGAAAGTGTGTAGAGTTGTGGCCCACCTGATCGTAGATCACCCTGACGATGAGCGAGCAGCTCGGGCACGTCGCGACCTCCTCCCCGTTCTCCAGGTCCTCCTTCAGAACAACGACAGACGTTCAGTGACGTCAGCGCGTAAAACACGTCCCATTTCCTGGCTACTTTCTGGTACAACAGTATGAATGAGTTTTAATACATCAATACAAATGGTCGTCAAATCCATGCCGAATTGTCCACGACCTTCGTAAAAAGCTCATTTGAACCGAAGTGTTTTAAAGTGAGTGATTTTGTTCAGGCAGTTAGGAGTCACGGGGCGACGCCTGGAGCTAGCTGTTAGCCCCCAGTTAGCCCTTCTTACTTTAGTAATGGCGAACTTGTCCCCACAGGGACAAGGGAAATAATACGTCTCCGTGTCCTCGTCATACTCAAAGTCCTCGATCTCGACCTCGTCGTGAAACACCGACATTTTCCCCGACAGCCGAGAAAAGTAAAACCTCCTCTCTCGTGTGTCTGTCGCAGTGGACGCGACGTGATGACGTAGGTGACCGCGTCCTGTGCCGGCTACGCGGACTGTACCGGAAGTGAGGTCATATCGATCGCTTGACCTATGAGGGTGCAGCTCACGGCTCCACACACTAGGTGGTGCTGTGGATCAGCGACGATTCACTGCTTCGTTTTTTATTCAATTTCACAAACGGCCAAAAAAACGCAAAATACATAAAGTAAATGAAACCAAAGATAATACAAAACAATGGCATACAACATAAAAGGGGGAAAACATATTAATGTAGCCCAGTGGGAAAACTAGGTCCAGCACTGAGGCCACTAGAGGGCGCTGTACTCCCGAGACAGCAAGCAACACGTGACGAGGGAAACCGGAAGTGAAGTTCGGTCTCTGCATGTGACTGTGCATGTTTTCAGGGTTACCACTGCAGTTATGTGTGTGCAGAAAATATGTGTTAAGTTTAATTGTGAAATGTTAAAAAAAACAATAATTGAAATCTGGAATTAATTTGTAATCATAACATTGAACACCTCCACATCCTTTTAACGCTGCTTTCTACCAAAAGAGTAGTTGAGAAATAAAGACCCCAAAATATAGTGTTGTGTCCGGTGTCATTCAATTTCACCCGCCGACATTAATAAATGAGCTTCCTCTCAGGCGTTGTGCCCTGGTTGTTCCTGTGTGTTGAATGCTTCTTTGTGGGATAGGTCTCAACGTTAAAGAGGTGGTCCAGGGTTCGAGGGTTAGAGGTTCTTGAAGAGTTTCCAGAGATCAACAAAGGGATGTTTCAAAGGTTCCGAAAAGGTTCCAGAGATTCTTTCACCGGTTCTTCAACAGGTCTTTGAGGTGGAGAAAAAAGGCGGTTCTGGAAGTCGAACAGATTCTTGAAGAAATATAAACTCATAAGGTTCAAGAGAGATCTTTTGAATGTTCCAGAGGTCCTGAGAGTTTGTTCTTACTCTTCTTAAGAAGGTCTAAAGGGTTCAGATTATCCTTAAGGAGGTTTAAAAGGTTCTTGAAGAGATTTGAAGTTATTGTGGAGGCTCCAAAGATCTTGAAAAAGGGTATTTAAATATTCTTAGAAGGTCCAACAGGTTCTCTGTAAGAAATAAACCCAAGAGGTTCAGATGGAGGGTTCTAAATATCCTTTAGACATCAAAATGCTTCTTGAAGAGTTATGAGGTTCAAGATGGTTTTTGTAGATTTTCTAGGGATTTCGACAAGAATTAAAAAATATTCTTTAGAAGGTATAAAGTGTTCTAGAAGAGCTTAGAGGTTTAAGATGGTTCCTGTGGATGCTCCAGAGATCCCGAGACACGGCTCTGAATACACCTTTGTGGGTTCCGGGGTCTTTGGAGGAGACTCCAGTGAGTTTCATTTTACTCCCTAAACCGCTCACTTAAATTTCCGGCCGGTTCGTCACAAACAAAGACTAAAAACGGGTTGTCACGATGTTCCGGGGAACAGAGGAGCAGTGTGTTTCCTCTGGTTCGCCCGCAGCTGTTTGCATGGAGCATCCGAGGAGGTCAGATGAAGCAGCAGACACAAGCGTTGGTATTGTCTGTCACAGAGGAACGAGGGCCTCTCCTGCAGATGTTGTTGTTGAGGTTTTTATTTTGGCGAGCGGAGACACGAGACGTCTTATTGACCTTGAATAGATCTTGGATGACCTTGTATGGCCTTCTCAATATTGAGATGAAGCCACAGAGCGGCTGAAAGAGGTCCATCTGCAGATCTGTCTTTAAAGGCCATTTAATGAGGTCCTTGTGGAGGCCGCAGGACTTCTGATGTTTTCTCTGGTCTTGCTCTTCTCTGTAGTTTCCTGGAGATCTTTGAGCGAGTTTTAGAGGTGTGAAGGCTTTAGAAGGTTTAGATGATGCTGAGGTTCATGAAGGGGTTCATGGCTTGTGGACACGTCCTCTGCTCATTACACTCAATCAGGTGTAGCTTGCTGTGGAGCAGAGCGTTGAGAGACCTTAGTAGTGCTAGAAATGGTTCCCTGCTCTTTGAAGACATTTGCTTAGTTCTCCAGGTTCTACCTCGACACTGAGAGGGTTCACCTGACTATTTAGGCCTTTTAAAAATCTGATCTGGTTTCCGGTGTTTGTCCAGTGGTTCTTGAGGAGGTGCTAACGGGGCTTCATGAGTAAGTTTCTTTGTCTTTAAACACAAAGCGAGCTCCGGTCAGGAAACGTTGTTTAGACCGTTTAGAGGGTTTGGAAGGTTTCCAGAGGGGAGAGGGGACCTTTGGGACGGTCCACACGTCCCTCAGGAGACATCCGACACCCATGAGGTTAAACAAAGTTCAAAGAGTCCTCGAGGACGTCTAATGGGCTCTCGGGGTCGGTTCCAGAGGTTCTTGGATGCCTTCCAAAGTAGAGCGATGTGGAAGTGCTAAAGTGGAGCTAATAGCCGTGAGAAATGTAGTGCATGAACAAAAAGCCTCGAGCTACAGGACTCCGCCCTTTAAACCTTGAATCAATACGCGCGCTGAAAACACGTATGTGATGAATACACATCTGCATGTACAAGTGTGTGCTCCCTAAATGCACCCCGTGTTTACTCAGCCGAGTGCTTTGATATCAGAGACGAACAAATAAGGGTGGAACACCGAGACACCAGCAGGAACCGAGAACCTGTTTCTAAGTGACCTGGTTCTCAGGTGATCTGGTTCCAGGTTTTTTTAGGGTTCTCTCGTGTACAAGTATTGCTCCGTGTTCTTAACCCGGCAAGAACACCCTAAAATCCCCAAAGACCCTTCAAACCCAACCAGGAGAACCTGACCCCACAAGATGTCCTCTCTGAGGCCCTTCACAGATACCAGGTCCTCCTGAAGAGCTCCTGGGACTCTGCAGAGAAAACCCGCCATGTGCACTGATGCTGCATCTCATCACGGCCTGCAATTCCACCTGGAACCTTGTGGAGGGGGAGCAGGAGGAGGAGGAGGAGGAAGAGGGGGAGAAGCAGAGGAGCAGCAGGAGGAGGTCCAATAGCACAAGGAGAAGATAGAAAAGGAGCAGTAGGAGCAGGAGGAGGAAGATGACATGAAGGAGCATCAGCAGGAGGCGCTGCAGCAGGAGGACAAAGAGAAGGAGCAGCAGCATGAGGAGGAGCAGGAGGAAGAGCAGCAGGAGGAGGAAGATGACATGAAGGAGCATCAGCAGGAGGCGCTGCAGCAGGAGGACAAAGAAGGAGCAGCAGCATGAGGAGGAGCAGGAGGAGGAAGATGACATGAAGGAGCATCAGCAGGAGGCGCTGCAGCAGGAGGACAAAGAGAAGGAGCAGCAGCATGAGGAGGAGGAGCAGGAGGAGGAAGATGACATGAAGGAGCATCAGCAGGAGGCGCTGCAGCAGGAGGACAAAGAGCAGCAGCATGAGGAGGAGGAGCGTGCGCGTGGTGGGATCGAGAGGAGTCCTGAGGAGGAGGTTCTGGTCTCACGGTGCAGAGACGTGAACACGACTCACGATGATGATGATGATGAAGATGAAGGTGCTTCCCCGGGTGCACGCGCCCCTCCGGCCGGTGGGGCGATGAGGCCCCGCAGACCGGCCCGCTGCTCGGATCCACTACAGTCCGGAATAAGAGTACTCGACCCCCCGAGAAGAGCCGACGCCTTTCAAACTAAAGAAAGCAGCCCGACCGGGACCGGAGAGCGGGGGCGCGCCGGGCCGCGGGGGCGCGCAGGTCGGAGACTTTTGATTCTTTTACTTTTGTTTCTGGTGATTGAATCTCGTTTGTTAAAGAGTATTTTATTTAGTACCACTACTTGAAGTTGTGTGGTACCAACACGCAGTATTTGTACACAGTCCCAGGCTTGGTTCTGAATTGAGAACATTAAGGAAATACGTAAAATAACGTTTAAATGTGTATTAACAGTTATTTTATGTTTACGTCACAGCCGGAAATACAGAATCAACTTTGTTCAATCTTGTTAAATATTCCACTTTAAATCCTCTTTCTGCTACAAATCTCAGCCGATGATCGATGATCGATCGGCCGATCAGGTCCGCAGTGATGCTGCTGCCGGCGCTCTTCCTCCTCCTCCTCCTCCTCCTCCTGCTGGCGGGAAGCTGCGGCCCGGAGCCGGAGGTCCGATCCCCGGGGACGAGCCTGGGGAGGGAGAGCAGGTCCCCGGGTCAGTACTACGCGTCCTACTACTGTAGTACTACTAGTGGTAGTTGCCAACCCAGAAACTAGTCCTGAGACAGTGTACATCACATCAAGTTGTCATCAGGCCAAATCAGTACTTGTGTTCACGACGATCTGGAGATAAACGCTCTTCATCAACATCTTCCTCTCTGTTTAAATAAACTCTGCTCTGCTCATCCACAAGATGAAGGTACAACTTTCTTGCTTTTTACTTAATCTCACGTTTGAACATAAATCTCGGTCGTCGTGGAGACGGATCCTGTGACAGGTCCCCTGTCAAAATAAGAGCTCGCTGAAGGCCCCTTAACGCAGATTGGCTGTTTCTTTTTTACCTCAGGGGGTCATCGAGATCCACGGCACAAGGAGAAGTTCATCAAACACCTGACAGGTGAGAGGTCCAAATGACACCGCGGTGCTCTGAGGAGAAAAGTGCAGCTTTTATGAATGATTCCAAATGTTTGGTGAGAGAGGAGTGGATGCATGAGGGGGGGTGCCGTACATCCCTGAGGTAAAAACATCTGCAATCCACATTATACACTGTGCTATTTGATCATAATAAAGAGTTTACATTCAGATGGTAATGATATGCGACCACGCAGCCTTCTGTCCAATCAGAGGGCAGCATCTCTGACACGTGTTCCCTGCGTCCTCAGGTCCTCTCCACTTCAGCCCGAAGTGCAGGAAACATTTCTACAGACTTTACCACAGCACCAGAGACTGCACGACACCTGAGTGTGAGTGCACACGCACACACACACGCACACGCACACACAAACACACACGCACACACACACACACACACAGTTATCACTCAGTAATTGTGTCACAACAGCAGCGCTCTTTTGATCTTAAATCAAGCGCTCTGCGCTGTGTTTACTTTGGAAAGTGTGTGGACAGAAATATGTGTGTGTGTGTGTGTGTGTCTGTGTGTGTGTGTGTGTGTGTGTGTGTGTGTGTGTGTACACAGTGGCCGGTTCATGCAGGACTCTTTCAGTCAAACAGTTAACACAAACTGTGTGAAATGAGTTTCTTGGGTCTTACGTTTATATCGTAGTACTTTTAGGTACTAGTCATGTACTTTGGGATGAGGTATCCACAGCCTTTTCTTCATAAAAGTACACATACCTCAACTCAATAATACTCTGTAACTATAAAAGTACTAATATCTCTTTGAGTATGACAGGAAATGTGTGGGAATTACAGATTACATAATGTGTGAATAATGATTATTTTTAAACTTATCAAAGTTGCAGCCTCGCCTTGAGGCACCTGCGTTGCTCTTGGTGCTAAGCTAGGCTAAACACATCCTGGGCCTTGTGACCCTCCCTCTACAGATGGTATCTTGGTTTCTGATATAAACTTGTTTTATTATTTCATAACCGCAGATGAACAAATGCTGTGATGTGTTTTCAGATTATAAAAGATGTGCTCGTCTGCTGACTCGATTGGCCAACAGCCTCCACTGTACGTAGAGATGATCCCCGGTGAGCCCACAGACCACGAAGGTCACCTAGTAACATCCTGTGCAGGTTTTTCAGGGTTCTACAGGTTTAGGGGTTCCACAGAGTCTTTACAACCTGCAGAAAGTGGTGTGTAAGACCTGCAGAGTCTTTTCTCTACAGGTTCTATTCAGGTCTGTAGAACATCTTTAACAGAGTAGCTTCAGATCTCTAGAACCTTTAGAGCATGTGGACATCCGAGTATGAAGAAAAGAGGCTATGTAGAACACGAGGACTTTTATGTAGAACAGACTTTGTAGAACACGAGGACTTAGGATGTATACTTTGTAGAACATACTTTGTAGGACACGAGGACTTAGGATGTATACTTTGTAGAACACTTTGTAGAACACGAGGACTTAGGATGTATACTTTGTAGAACAGACTTTGTAGAACACGAGGACTTAGGATGTATACTTTGTAGAACAGACTTTGTAGAACACGAGGACTTAGGATGTTTACTTTGTAGAACAAACTTTGTAGAACACGAGGACTTAGGATGTATACTTTGTAGAACAGACTTTGTAGAACACGAGGACTTAGGATGTATACTTTGTAAAACAGACTTTGTAGAACACGAGGACTTAAGATGTATACTTTGTAAAACAGACTTTGTAGAACACGAGGACTTAGGATGTATACTTTGTAGAACACTTTGTAGAGCACGAAGACTTAGGATGTATACTTTGTAGAACAGACTTTGTAGAACACGAGGACTTAGGATGTATACTTTGTAAAACAGACTTTGTAGAACACGAGGACTTAGGATGTATACTTTGTAGAACATACTTTGTAGGACACGAGGACTTAGGATGTATACTTTGTAGAACACTTTGTAGAGCACGAAGACTTAGGATGTATACTTTGTAGAACAGACTTTGTAGAACACGAGGACTTAGGATGTATACTTTGTAGGACAGAAGAATGTAAACTTTTTAGAACAGAGACTTTGTAGAACTGTTATTAGAGACTATGTATGTTTATAGACTCTGCAACCAGACATTTCCTTAAAACAAGTCAAGAGAATCCACAAAATAACCGTGCATGATGGGAAACGTAGTATGAAATGTCTCAGGAACAAATGGTCGTTCACATCCTGAAAAATATATTTACTCTAAATGTCCTCTCTTTCTTGATCCGTCGTTAGAGCAGATCTTATCGAGGTCCTTCTTTTGATGAGCAGAAGACCTTCTCCAGCCAATAGAAACGCCTCCGAGGCTCCACAGTCGTCTACTGACGCCTCCACTGACTCGACTGGCTTCTATCGACTCGGGAGGAACAAGGAACGTCTGCAAACTCAACAACTGTTGCAACAGAAACTTTCATCTGGGACCGAATGTCTTCTTCACCTTTTTTGTGTTATTTAGAGGCCTCTGGAGGAAACGTGGACAAACCCTCCGATCGGACATTGCCTAAATACCTTGACTCGACTTTTAGTTTTGTTGTTCTGGACTATGGAAAATGATCAAAGATGCTGAATATGTTTTGTGTTCATAATAACTAATAATATTCCAGTATGTTTATATTGTTTAAGCCCATGTGTGTAATGTGTACATACTGAAAGAAGAATGAACTCACATTTGAAATGTTTTTCTCACATTAGGACTTTTTATTTTGATTGAAAATTAGCATTCAGCCACATTACATTACATGTCATTTAGCTGACGCTTTATGATTAAAGACATACTGTGAGGCTAACGTTAGCATATTGGGTCAACTTCACCTAATCGCTGTACAAAGAATGGAAATTATATTTTATCAACATGGAGCCATAGACAGACCCAAACTAAGTAAAAGGAACTGTGGGTAATTGCATCATAGTTGTTATTACTATTATTACAGACTACAGACACCCACTGAAATGCCCCATCAATCTACTTTTTCTGACTGAATTTGTGATTAATCGAATGGAAATATATATATATATATATATATATATACAGTATACACATATATACTGCATATCTAAATATATATATATATCGATTAATATAGATATCTATCTATCTATGGGACTCAAACCAATCTGCTTCCACCTGATTGGATAAACAGGACCACACATTCCGTTTTCCTCTGAATCTTTTTTCTTTGCCGCTGGTTCCTCTTCTCGTCTTCCTCGTCTCCGGGCTGCAATCAGTAAATATATCCTCAAATATCATCACTCTTACAATAACTTCTTTAAGGGAATGACACAACCAGTTTGAAGAAGTAATGGATTAATTAATTAAAGATACAATCTTTAAATAATTAATCCATAATGTTCAGCAGAGGATTTATTGAAAGGATCAAAACAAGGAGGCATGGATCATTTTCATTGGGTTCCATTCTGTTAAATCAACAAAGCTGGCAGTCATTTGTTTAAGAAGGGTCATTTATAGCTTCTTTTACCTGTTGGCCAACGAGTTGAACGTTAAACACGAGGACACATGAGCGTTATTATGTAAGTTATTGAGGTCACATAAACTGCAGGCGACGCCATGGAAGCGATGTGGGAGGAGCTACAAGATGACTCACAGCTGTGGCAGGTAACGACCAATCCGTGATTGATCACATCACAAACACACACCAACACACAGTTTCACTTGTGCATTAAACAAACACACTTTGGGACGCACCTGTGGGGCTCAGCTGGGGGCGTGGCCAGCATGAGCACCTGCAGTGTCTCGTTAATGGAACGTCCAGTTGTCTCCAATCACAGATATAGTGGCCTGGAAGGACCAGTTAAGTCCAGGATGTGGGAACCGGGACGGCTGAGGATGAAGAAGCAGAACAATTCCAGCCAGAGCTACCTGAGGGTGAGGAGGAGGGTTGAAGAAGGAGATCTGTGAGGGTATTTAATCATATCTGAGAGGAGGAGGGTTGAAGAAGGAGATCTGTGAGGGTATTTAATCATATCTGAGAGGAGGAGGAGGGTTGAAGATGGAGATCTGTGAGGGTATTTAATCATATCTGAGAGGAGGAGGAGGGTTAAAGATGAAGATCTGTGAGAGTATTTAATCATATCTGAGAGGAGGAGGGTTGAAGAAGGAGATCTGTGAGGGTATTTAATCATATCTGAGAGGAGGAGGAGGGTTGAAGATGGAGATCTGTGAGGGTATTTAATCATATCTGAGAGGAGGAGGAGGGTTGAAGATGGAGATCTGTGAGAGTATTTAATCACATCTGAGAGGAGGAGGGGGGTTGAAGATGGAGATCTGTGAGGGTATTTAATCATATCTGAGAGGAGGAGGAGTGTTGAAGAAGGGGAGGAAGGAGATCAAATCGGCAATAAACTTATTTCTGAGAGGAGGAGGTTTTCATGGAAAGCCTCTTTAAATCTGAGCATGAAATCGATGAGTCGCTCTGAGATGAATCCTCTTGAATGAAGACTAGAAGCTCCTTGATCTTCTTAAGGGAAAGAAGGAAGACTTTGAGGAGAACGTCTCCCACTGGATCCTTCTGACCAGGGACTGGGAGGCCTGAACTGGTTTGTGGTTTTATTTTGTCCCCATACAGAAACGCACACACACACACACACACACACACACACACAGTGGAAAGCCATTAAGAAGACAAGTGGCTGCAGAGTGAGTGGTGATTGTCCAGCAGGCTGTTTAAAGGGGGGAGGGGTTACTGCAGGCCGATGGAGGAAGGAGATTACAAGACAACAACTTTTACTCTACATTTCATCACATTTATAGCTTTGGTTAATTCATCCAAATAATAATAATCATATTCGTGTGAATGGTAATAATGATTAACCTTGAAACAAAGTCTTATGGGAGATTTTGGTACTTTTACTTAATTTAAATGATCTGAATCATCCTAAAAGTTTCATTTTTTGAAACACATCCTCAAATTTCTTTTAATTCCGAAAAAGTTAATGCGTACCGGAGGAAGCGCGTCTGCTTAAGCCCAATAACAGAGATGAATCAACCCGTCAATCAAGCTGTCAAACACTACTACTAGATCTTGTACTACGGCATTCAGCAGGACACGGACCACTGAGAGAAGCAGAACTCTGGACCTTGTCATCGATTATGGAGGCTGTGACTTGGCTCACTTGTTTCCTCAGAGATGTTACTCTATTTACTCAAGTTCTCCACCATACCAGCCCCCCCCCCCTGGCATCTGTCAGCGAGCTTGTAGATGGCTTTAATTCCAACGAGTTCCAAAATGCCCGTGATGCCAATGGACCAACTAAAGTGAAGGTTGTCTTTGGCAAGCAAAGATCTCAGAAAAAGGCCACTAGTGAGAATAGAGCGGGAAGAGCTGAGAGCAGGCGACTAAAACCAAATCTCCAGGTTCACTTTATCGTCGATAAGGGAAGACAAGGGAGTTCTCCTCTGACATCATAACCAAAAACCCTAACGACACACGTGCCTTATTTGCGAGCAAACCCTCCAGAGTCAGTGGCCGCTGGGCTGCGATCCACTCGGCCGTGAATATACGTTGAAATGTTATGACACAATTTCAATCAACCATGGAAGTCTGGAAGACATTCTACAAGATCTGAAGTCCTCGTCCTGCTGCTTGGATATTGTACCAACAAAATGTGATGTCTTCCAGTCGGGCTTTGCACAGCACTGAAACTGGTTTTCAACGACATCCACTTAAACACAGTCAGAACTACGGTCGTCTTATTACTGGATCTCCGTGCTGCATTCCACACGGCCCACATGACAAACTACTGGACAGACTAACGCTCTGGTAGGACTCTCTAAACAGGTTTGAATCACACTTAAAGGACCAAGAATACTTTCACATCAGGGCAGATTAAAATGATATGGTGTTCCCCAAGGTGCAACTCTGGGGCCCCCAATAAACAAATGTGCCAGAATAGTCTTCCATTAAACAAAGTCAGAAGCCACTTCAATCGCAAATGTTCAAACCACAACCCAAGCCGCAAATCTAGGTGTAATTATGGATTCAGACCTTCATCTGAACCGCCAGACGATTGCAAGATCAGCATATTATCACCTGAAGGATATGCCAATGATTAGAGACTTATTTACTCTTAATAACAGGATTTGGAAATAACTGTCCATGCATTCATCTTTAGTAGACTGGACTGTAACGGTGTGTTCATAGGTCTGTAAACGACAGTAAATCAAAATGTCCTCACTAAGACCAAGAAAGTGGGTCAGTTGAGGAGCTGCCGCGCGTTGCCCGTCACCCTGTGGCTCAGAATTCAAACATAAAAATGTTTATTAAATCATTTTATTTAATAAATCTGTATTTGTATTTTTACTGTTTATTCCAATTATACATACATTATGTGTGTTGTTCAAATTGTTTAGACGTTACGATGACAAATGTTGCCGTTACGCAAAATGAAATACAAATAAATGGCAGAATAAACAGCTTTTATCGTCCGTTCATTGCCGACGAGCGAACAACCCGCGCATGCGCACTTCGATCCTGTATTCTGTACGCCAAAAACTCTGCTGCACGTAAGCATGTTACGCATCTACGTTACGCATCGAACATGGAGCAATGCGGATCGACATGTTACACAGTCCTACAGAACAGAACTATTTGGGGCTTAATGTTGAATTGGAAGTATTCAGCAGTGCGTGTTTTCATTGTTGCTGACTGACAAACGCAACGTTAACTGGCCGCTGTGCAATAAATCTTAACCCGAGAGGACGAACGTTTTTTTCGCCACCGAAACCTAATAACTGCTGTGCGAGCGAGTGACGTCATCCTGATTGGAAATGACGTGATGTCGTGTGTGCGCGCGCGCGCGCCGCGCTTATGCGTAACGTTTACCGTTTTGTTGTGTTATCCTAAACAACAACTACTGACATCCCTGCACGTCACTGGTGACGTCACTGAACGTCTTAAGGGAGCTCCTCCACCTGCGCAGGTGTGCTCGCTTCCCCTGGTATCACGTGACCTGCGCAGTCGCGCTTTGGTCTGGCACGCGCGCTGAGCCGTGGGCAGAATCCGGTGAGGCGGAAGTGAAGAGAGACTCGCGCAGCTCACCTGTCCGCAGGTGAACAAACAGAAAGAGAACTCAGGAAAAGAGAGAAAAGTAAGTTTATTGACACTGAACGATTTGCCTCTGAACACTGTTTGATTCCTACCTGTTGTTTACTGTCTCTACCTGTCTCTGTGTCTCATCTTGTCTATCTGTGTCTACTGGTGTCTCTACCTGTCTCTGTGTCTCTTCTTGTCTACCTGTCTCTGTGTCTCTTCTTGTCTACCTGTCTCTGTGTCTCTTCTTGTCTACCTGTCTCTGTGTCTCTTCTTGTCTACCTGTCTCTGTGTCTCTTCTTGTCTACCTGTCTCTGTGTCTCTTCTTGTCTACCTGTCTCTGTGTCTCTTCTTGTCTACCTGTGTCTCTACCCGTGTCCACTGGTGTCTCTGCCTGTCTCTCTCTGTGGGTTTACCCGTCTCTCTGTGGTCCGGTTCTACAGGATCTGCAGGTTCTACCCGTGTGTTGCAGGTCATAAAATAACTCTGTGGTGACACACGTCAGGTGATGTGGCCTTCTGACGGATCTACAGGTCTGTGAGGAGGCTCCTAGAGGTTCTAGTGGTCTTCATGGGACGTCTCGTGGCTGAGGGTCTAGTGATATTTACTTAAAGAAGACCGGTCATGCTCATTTTACGACTCCTACTTGTATGTAGGGTTAGCATCCTCATGCTACATCTCAGAGGGAAGCATCATACTTTTCTTTCAGCTTTGTTTGGAGCGATATCTCGGATGCTCCTCGTGGCGGTCGGCCTGTAGCGCAGCCTGGTGTGTGCAGCAGAGCACCACTGCTGTTTGGTGACCCCCATCGGGGAAAGCTGACTGGCTTTCACACGGCTGGTCTGCATGTGGAAGCTCGTTGCCTTAGCCGGTTAGCTTGCCACGTCTCACTCAAGTTGTTGTATTTCTCTGCGAGTTGTGAAGACGACCACGATCCATCACTTGTTCTCCACTAACTCCTCCTCTTCTTCACCTGCGCTAATGTAAGCAAATTAACGAGGGAGGAAAAAAGGTCCCTTCAAAATAAAAGCAATGCCGCTCTATTCTGTGCCTGATGCACACACATTTACCCACATGTGGTCGGGGGTAGCTATCCGTCCTGTTTTGGGAATCTGTGACCGCTCGTTAGCAGAGGAGTTTGGACTCTTGGGATTTGTTTGGTCAATTGGCAGAGGGGTTGATTGGTGAGGCGTCGCCATGGTGACGTCAGTGAGTCCGCTTCATTATCAAACTGGTTTTAATGACTTTGTGGAACTTGAGGTTAAAACCTGTTTTACGTTTCGATGAGCTCACAGTTGCTTAATGAGTCATCACATAGCGAGATGTTTAATGACCTAGAACCGTGAAGGGTTTTTAGATCACTAGAGAGGAATTCTCACATCCGACAGTTGTAGTGACTAGAACCTCCTAGAAGACCGTTAGAACCTCTTTATCTCAGACCACCTCCTCATAGACGACTGGTACGACAACCAATAAAACACCCTCGTTGACTAGAAACTCTTTACAGACCAAAACCAACTCTTCATAGATGTATAGAACATATATGAACACCATTAGAACCTCCTCAAAGACCAAGATAAACTCCTCATAGTTGAATAGAACGTACTAATAGACCACTAGAACCTCATTCATGATGAATGGAACGTACATGAAGACAACTAAAATCTTATCTATAATGACTAGAACCAACACAAACATACATAGAACCCCTTTTGTGCGTTTGTGAGTTTCCGTATCAGTAGCCGGACAGCGGAGACGTTCTGCCGACATCAGCACATTCCTGACACGTGACGCATCTGTCAACCAGAGGATCCCTCCTGACACAACAACACAACAGTTTGAATGTTAGTCCAGAGACGGAGGATTACATTTCTGGGTCAAGGCTCTTGGGCGCTTGAGTTATGATTGACATTGTTCCAAAGCTCTCGATCCAGAACTTCCAGAAGTTCTTCCGAAATCCGTTACTTCTCGCAAATAATCTGCGAACAGTCGGAAGAGTGGAAGCGTCTGCTAAAACAGCAAGTAAATCTGTTCGTTTTGATACCAATAAGTTCAGTCCGGTCACACAGGTCCGTCTGTTCCACCGATGGAACAACAAACACGCTTTCAGGGCTGTTCCAAGAAGGCCTTTCGCCGCAGATTCCGATCAAACGGAATCAATTACAGCCCACAAAGAGCTCCTTCACGAGTTCTGTGACTCCCTTCTTTGCGCAATGGAAGCTTTTGGTCTGATGAGTGTAGGTTTAACAAACCGTGTCATTTTCTTTTTTGCTTTCGCAGTGAGCAACCCGATCCCCTCTAACCTGAAGTCGGAGGCCAAGAAAGCCGCCAAGATCCTGAGAGACTTCACGGAGATCTCCAACCGGAACGGACCTGACAAACTCATCCCTGGTGAGAAGACCTCAAACACCCTTTGGTTCCATGAAGAACGGAGCCGACGTTGATGGTTGTGTTTCTGTTCCTGCATCGCAGCTCACGTGATCGCAAAGGCAGAGGGTCTGGCCATCATCTCCGTCATCAAGGCCGGCTTCATGATCACCGCCAGAGGTGGAAGCGGCATCGTCATCGCCAGATTGGGCGACAGACGTAAGGCCCAGAGGTTCTGGTTCTGTTTTTCTAATTTTCTGTCTGTCGCTATCTGCAAATACTATTTTAAAACAGATTTTTGTCAAATAAATAGGTACGTTGGTTCTGGTGCTCTGGAACTAGAAGTTGGTTCTACGGGTCTTTTAGCAGAATGGCGGAGGTTCTGATTTTTTAGGTTCTGATTCCCTTCCCAACATCAACATGCTTCCACTAGCTCCGACTATGGAAAGAAATGAAGCGTGTCACTATAAATCTACATAGGATATATGTATACGATACGATATATATATTATATGTTGGTATGATCTCCACGTGTTCTGGTGGTGAGCAGAGTTCTGCGGTTTGGCCGATGAGTCAAAACGAATCGGTGGTGAAAAGTAAGAATTGATTTTAAACCAAAAGGTGTCGATAGCGTTTGCTTTGAGGTACTTTCAATGTTAATAAATGAAATCATCACCAGATTAGTTATTTTGACTTATGGAAGTTCAAGTAAAGTCTGCAGTCTGTGGTGGTGTTTGAGGAGGTAAAATCAGGATTTTCTTTACGTTGCCGTGGTAACAAAGATAAATTCCCTCAGGTTGCCCCTGGCGTTTAGTCATCTGATGTGATGTTGATCTTTGGGGCAGGAAGGCATGGGATCACACGGAGAGGAACTCTTTTCCTCCGCAGGGCTTTCTGTTTGTTTTCGTTGATTTTTAAAGCAGCAGGCAAACAACATCGGCACCAATTGGTGTTATTGGTGTTAGTGAAGCTTCAGAGACGATTCTGGCCTCAAACAACGTTTAATTAAGGTCTCCTTTAAGAACCACAAAGATCCAGGTTTGTGCAAATGAAAAGTGAATGTACTGCAATTAAATACATGAAACTCCATCTCGCAAATAATGTGACAATATCAAGATGGCAAAATAATTATAAATGCTTTTTTGCCCTAAATAGTTAGTAACTTATTGACGGGTGTCTGATCCATCGTTTGTGATCAGGCTGGTCGGCACCGTCGGCCATTGGCATCGCCGGCCTGGGAGGAGGCTTCGAGATCGGCGTGGAGGTGAGTTCATAAAATTCCACTTCATTCCTCCCGATGGCAAAGAACTGCAGCCTGAAGAGCCGTGAATCCTTGATTTCTCCGATCCTCTAAACTATCTGAAATGCCAGAATTGACCATTTGAATATTTTAATTGGACTTAATAATGGAAGGCTCCTCCTTCAGGTGTCCGACCTGGTGATCATCCTGAACCATCGGAGGGCCGTGGAGGCCTTCACAAAAGGCGGGAATCTGACGCTGGGCGGGAACTGCACCGTGGCCGTGGGACCCGTGGGCAGGTGACCACAATCCAAGCGATTAATGCTCTTTATTTACGCCCCGAATTTGGGAGAAGTTTGATCAACTTCTACTGCAACATCAGGTGTGATTTTATTTCCGAAGAAGTGATCTGTGGGAAGTTAATTTACATCGTTAGCAGGACGTTGGTGTTTGTTTCCTTCTCGAGGGGTGGCGTGTGAACTGCTTGAGATGCGTGAGGCTTGAGAACCCTGCAATGACTTTATTATCTTAGTAAACTGAGCAGGCAGGTACACGTGGAGATCTCTGCTGGCCGAGCGTCGGCGAAAGGTCCTGAGCTCTTAACAGGTCTTCATCTTGAACCGGCAGCTCTTAACTCTCTGGATCAGATTCAGCCTGCTAGCTGGACTGAGACAGCTAAGCTAAGCTAAGGGCTTAGCTTGGGCTCGTTCACTCATGACACATTAATAACCGCCTTCACCCCTCCACAACCCGTTTGCCTCTACGGCAACACGGGAGGGACATGCTAGCTTCAACGCAAAACCCTTAACATGGGACACACCTTTGCACTACAATGAAAAAATAGAGAGAGATAACGTTGTTTATAATTCCACAGCCAAATTCTACCCACATTTGGTGGGTGTGCGGTGCTAATGTCAAGTCCTGTGTGTATGTGAGTAATCAAATCCACAGCAATTTAAATAATCCTCCTGATAAGAAAATAATCCTCATCGTGACATGTATCCACTCGGTTTGATCAACTCCTTTTTGATAAGTTATTCTGGGAATTTTGCTGCAGCTTTGGCTCATCAAACGAAGCATGACGTTGTTGGCAAAGGTAACGACAGAGGACCAAGGATTGAGCCCTGTGGAACTCCTCGCAAAAGTGTGATAGTGTGCTCAACATTGTTCTTTATCTTCACGCTGTTCAGGAACGTGGAAGCTGATGTGGCGATTCGCAGCACCACGGCGGTCTTCACCTACTGTAGATCCAGAGGGTTGTTTGCTGGTATTTCTCTGGAGGGATCCGGCCTCATTGAACGCAAAGAAACCAACCGCAAGTACGGACCGCTGACCACCACGCCTTCATTGGAGGTTTTGTCAAAGTGAATGCAGGTACAGTTAGCAAATGTGTTTGGCCCGTAGGTTCTATGGGAGGGAAATCCGAGCGTCTGCCATTTTGCACGGCGATGTGGAGCCACCGGCTGAATGCCACAACCTTTACCACATCCTCGACAACTACACCGAGGCCTACACCGCCGACTGGACCGCCAAGAACATGCGTCCGAAGGTAAATGCGTCCCCGTCTACAGCCGTCCCACACTGCTTTAACCAATGGTAATCTTTGAAGTTATGGACACGCTTCATACTGGTGAAATGTTAAGTGGCTGCAACAACTTCAGGCTCTTCAGTGAGAATATTAACTTCAATGGGTCAATTAAAAGTACAATTGGTCAGTGTTTTCTCTGTCTCTCCAGTCGTCTTTTACTCCATCCAGACCTCCAGCACCTCAGAAACCGCCATCTGGCTACCAGCAGCCGCCATCCGGCTACCAACAGCCGCCATCCGGCTACCAACAACCGCCATCCGGCTACCAGCAGCCGCCATCCGGCTACCAACAACCGCCATCCGGCTACCAGCAGCCGCCATCCGGCTACCAGCAGCCGCCATCCGGCTACCAGCAGCCGCCATCCGGCTACGAGCAACCGCCCTCCCGCTACGAGCAACCGCCCTCCCGCTACGAGCACCAGCAACCGCCAGCCAACACGGGTAAAAATGCCCTCTACCCGAGCATGTCCATCTATAAATCTGAGACTTCAGGTGAGTTCCACTTCCTCCATCCTCTCTGCTTCTATCCTTCCCGTCACCTCCTTTCTTTCACTAGCACCTCCCTTTCCTTCCTACCCCCTCGCCCCCTTTTAGTGCCGTCTTTACCTCCTTCTTGCCTTTCCATAACCTATTCTCCTTCTTTCCCTCATCATTTTACCTCATGCCTCCTTCTTTACTTGTTATACCACAGGGGCGTGGCCACGTGGTGGCCAGGGGGGGCCACGGCCACCATTGGTCACAGAAAGGCCACCCTGCCCTCCCCCTCCCGCCCCCAACCTCACCGCACGGCGAAAAAAATTAGGCTGTCTTTCTGTCACTTGCACAAAAATATCCCCGTCTCATGTTAAAGTCCCGGACCTCCTCACATAATCATGACACATCGCAATCGCACTTTATCTAAGCAGCCATTCTAGTAACATGGGATTATCAATCAGACCTCATGTGTCCAGAAGAAGGTTCAATCCAGTGTTCATGGCAAGATGAGCCGTTAGAAACTGCTGCTCTGAGTGATGCAGTGTGTGAGTTTTAAAATAGTAGTTTTTGACAATCAAGTGCCACCCCAAATAAAAGACTGGCCAGAGCTGCCCCCCCAGAAATAATGTCCTGGCTACGCCCCTGTGTACCACTATTTAACTTGGCTTCACCTTTCCTCCACCTCCTTCCCTAAATGGGGTGCGTTTAACTTTGAATCTGCAGTGTGATGTCATTGAAATGGAAGGTTTCACTATCTCCTTCCCTTTGTGAAGTCTGCATCTCCTGTCTGTCTGTCTGTCTGTATGGCTGTATGTCTGTGTCACTGTATAGTCCTCCGAGCGTGTCTGCGACTGAAAAACAATAAGTTTCTTTAACCGTTAATCAGCCTCCAGAAACTCTGCAAACAACGGTACGACTTCATTACGAAGCCATTTTAAAGTTCCAGTTAGGTTCCTTGTTTTATACGGTTATGATCAATTAAAGTAATGAATAAAGAACTGTGAGAGTTTGTTTGAACTGGACATTAATACTAAATCATATCAATAGATTTTAAACCACAAAGTGAAAGTAGTTCTTAAAACATTAAACTATTGTTTTAAAAATACAATGTTACTGATTATAATCAATATATTTTTCCTCACAGGCGATGGCTCGTCAGTGGGCGGGGCCAGAGGACAGCTCGTCGTCACGGCGACGCACCCGTTCTCCGGTCAGCAGCCGGGCGACCTGAGCTTCGCCCCCGGCGACCGCATCACCGTGGTAACCAAGACCGACTCAGAGTACGACTGGTGGGAGGGGCGACTGGCCGATGGGCGCGTCGGCATCTTCCCCGCCAACTTCGTCACATACTGATGCCCCGCCCCCTCCCGGTGGTTGGGCAGGTCCTACTTTTAAGGTCAATAAATAAAATGATCACCAGATTAGTTATTTTGAATTATGACAGTTTGTAAAAACACATTTATGAATTAAAAGTTAAACATTTTTTTTAATCCATCTCTTCAGGAAATGGATTTCCGTATCAGGGATATTCTTTTGTGAACTACTGACAAAAGTTAGTTTTCCAAATTAATTACAATAAATAAATGAGTCTGAATTAAATATTTTATTGAACTTCTCCACATTATTACAACAATCTTCAAACTTAGTGATTTATTTTTCTTTATTTAATTAAAAATGTACTTTAAAAAATGAAGAAACTGTGTATGTGTTGATGACTTCCTGTACTTCAAACTTAAAAAGAATTTAAGAAAGTGAGGGAAAAATGGTTAAAACAGAACTTTCTTCGTAGTTCTTCGTATCAAACTGTATTTAAAAGTTTAATATCTGGGATCTGTTACGTCAGGACGTGTGTGAGAAACATGCTCTTATTTTGTCAAAGAAAGCTCAAAGAATCTGTAAAATATTCCACCAAAAAAGAACCTTGAGGGTTGTTTAACGTTTGGAATAAAATATGATTGTTCAAATATTTCTGTATATATTCATACCGTGTGTGTGTGTGTGTGTGTGTGATGTGGTTCTACAGGTCGTCCTGCAGAGAGCGCTGCGTACGTAAAATATGAACCCATATTCAGACGATTGTCTCTTCACTCCAAACACACACACACACCGCTTTTATTTTCATGTTTAATAAGTGATTTATTCTGACAGCAGCACGTGAAGTAGATACCTTTTTGAAAGAATGAACATAATAATGCCTCAATAGTGTGTATTATTCTGACTGATACATGCTAATACTGTCATCAAATACTACTGCATGTACTTAATCACCCTAATTATCAAAAAGGAGATGTGGAGTAACGCGCCGGGTCGGCGGTTCGAACCCTCACTGCTCCCCGGACGAAATGAACCATGAGTTTGTCTCTTTGGATAAAAGCGTCAGCTAAATGACCTGTAATCATTCATGAAGGAGACTTTCTGCACAACAAGTACTGCTACATTTAGTACGTTTTATACTTGTACTCACGTGTTATTTGAATTATTTGTAATGAAGTATTTTTAAGACTACTTAAGTCATATTTTTTTCTGCAACCGCGCAACTTGTAGTACTTCTGAAGGAGGAAATACTACTTTTATTTATTTTTCTAGGTTTATTTTCACAAAAATAAACGGCCAGTCATGTGACATCGTATGACATCATCAGCGTCTTCATCACGTCCGCGCTCCTCTTTCTCAATGCGTCGTTCTTTGGTCTTTAATTTAAATAAAGAATAAAAACAAACAAAAGAAAGTAGTTCAATGAGGTTAAGACTGCGTGTGCGTCTTGTCCGTCCTGTGTGTGTGCGTGTCGTCTTTCTCTGCAGGGGGTGTCTCCGGCTCAGTATTCCTGGTTTGGCTTCTCACCAGCTTCCTGAAACACACACACACACACACACACACACACACACACACACACACACACACACAGCATGAGTTGACACAATGATTAACTTCCCAGCTGTGTGTGAAATCTGACTTTTGGGTCACGCTGTTCTTTCTTGAAGAATTTTTCGGGTGAAACATTGACAGAAATAACTAAAATAAATGATATGATTTTTTGATCTAAGACTTAAAATGTGTGAACGTCAGAGAAGACAAACTTCAGTTTGATGCTGCGGATTAAAACGGAGCAAAAAACAACATGTAGCCACGAGGACGGGAAGTAGATGACGACAATAGGAAGTAGATTAATATCACCGGAAGTAGATGACCTCGACTCAAAGTACATGACATCAGGAAGTAGATTACAAAACGACAGGAAGTAGATGACAGTAACGGGAAGTAGACGTGACAAAGGAAAGAAAGTTGGTGACATCCACAGGAAGTAGATGAAAACCACAGGAAGTACCTGACGACAACAGAAAGTAAGTAATGATGACGGGAAGTAGATGGCGAGGATGGGAAGTGGGTCCCAACGACAGGAAGTTAGAAGTAGAAATACACTTTGTCATTTCTTATTTACAATGTATTCTATCTTATTTCTTTTTGTTTATTATTCATTGTTTAGTGTGTGTGAGTTTTATTCTGCTGAGTGAAATCTGTTTCATCTCTTCTGCGCCTCCTGGGCTTCCGTAGTCCCGTTTTTCCTTCACAGAGGTTTTATACTGTTGTGGGGAAAAAGATGTCGCCGGCTGCGTGAGGCGGTTAAATGCCGGGAAGCACTTCGTTGTCCCGGTGCAATGACTAAAAGTCTAATCTTCTTTTAATGTGACTGTTTTGTTACACAATCGTCACTAATACAATCACAGTGTCCAGCTGTTGGGTGTCATTATTTTATACGGTAAACATATAGGCCGTGTGCTTTGCCCTTCATACATGTTGTCTTGCGTGTGTCGGAAGCTGACGTGCAGAGAGACCAGAAGGCAACGTCTGTGTTTTACTAAATAAATGCTGGAATGTAATATGTAATATAACACTAAGGTCGTAAAGTGGTAATGAATCTTTTTTTCCCACCACTTCCTCCAGAGGGCGCCCGCGCTCGGGAGGCGGGGCATCGGCTGCCTGTCGCAGTCCTCGACCGAGTCGGGCAGCGGGACGCCGCTGGTCTCCGGGAGAAGCAGACACAGAGCGCAGCCCGCGATTGGGCCGCTGCTGTACGCGACCATGGCAGCCAATGAGATGGCCCCGGTGGGGGTGGCGGGGACCACGGAGTTGACCAGGCAGCCAATCCGGAAAGACAGGTTGACCAAGGACACGCACCGCTGTCTGGATCACAACGACATGCTTAACGTTATGCACACGTTGTACTCTTTGCGTGTGAGTGCGAGCACACGTATGTGCTCCTACCTGACCACGGTGGGGAACAGCTCTATGCTGTACAGGATGGAGATGAAGAGCGCGGCCAGGATGCAGAGCTTCCCCAGCAGAGCGAGACTCATCACCAACACCGGCTGAGCTGCACGCACGCACACGCACACACGCACACGCGCACACAGACACACACACGCACACGCACACACACACACACACACACATCAGCTGACTCTATGCTGATGACACCCTACTGTACGCCCCTAAAGCCAAAGCTAGTTATGCTAACACGTACCAAAATAATGATAAATTATTAAGTACAAAGTCAATATTTAATCAACACGTCCTTCCTCTGTTAGATTGTCGATACAGCAACAATAAGAAGCGTGGATAAGTGATCAGATACCACCTCCGATTGATTACCGTCGTATCGGGACAGCAGTAAGGACAGGAAGCAGGCCGCTCCACTCAGGAACAGAGCGAGCATGCTGATTGGCCGGCGGCCCAGGCGGACCAATGGGACGAGGAGGCAGGGTGCCTCCGATAGGCCGGAGAAGAACTGGGCGGAGTAGACGCCGACGCCGAAGGAGCCGATGTTCATGCAGATGCCGAAGTAGGTGAGAGCTGACGCCGCACTGAGGGGGGGAGGGGGGGTTAAACCACGCCCCCTTTGATCTGGTTTTGATGTGTAATTGTAAATATGTGTCGTACCTGACAAAGCTCATGACGAAGAGCCGAAGAAGGACCGTGGGATGTCTCAGGTAGATGATGTCACTGGGGGCGTGGCCTCCAGGTGGCGGATCTTTCTGATCCTCAGTGTCTTTCTGCAGGTCGGACCACAGCAGCTACACACAGTACAAACACTCATGGGATGGGACTATAACTAGGGCAGTGTGTGTGTGTGTGTGTGTGTGTGTGTGTGTGTGTGTTTACCAAGTCCAGACACTGTTTATCTGCTGGGCTGTTGTCACGGTAACGATCAAGCACGTCGGTCCTCCTCCTCAGCAACAGCCAGCGAGGAGACTCCGGAATCCAACTGACCAGAAGAGATTAACAGGTCACCCGCCGCCGAGCAGAGAGACCGGCAGAAGGCAGACAGGTAGGCAGAGAGACGGGCGGAAGGCAGACAGGTAGGCAGAGAGACGGGCAGAAGGCAGACAGGTAGGCAGAGAGACGGGCAGAAGGCAGGCAGGTAGGTAGAGAGACGGGCAGAAGGCAGACAGGTAGGCAGAGAGACGGGCAGAAGGCAGACAGGTAGGCAGAGAGACAGGCAGAAGGCAGACAGGTAGGCAGAGAGACGGGCAGAAGGCAGACAGGTAGGCAGAGAGACGGGCGGAAGGCAGACAGGTAGGCAGAGAGACGGGCAGAAGGCAGGCAGGTAGGCAGAGAGACGGGCGGATGGGACGGGCGCACCTACAGGTAGAGCGGCAGACAGACGAGCTGCGGCACAGCCAGCGTCAGGTGCAGCCGCGTCCAGGTGGCGCTGAGCCAGGCCAGCGGGGCTCCGCCCATCATGCCCAGGCTGAAGCAGAACGGCAGGAAGGCCGACGCCCACAGCCGAGCCGCCGGCGGCGTCCACTCCACGGCTGCGGACGGAACAAAAACAAGTCCACTCTCCGTCAATCGCCATGACGGCCCATCGGAGCGGTGAGCTTTTATAAAAATCAACTTTCATCTTTTGGTGTCATTGCTGATACGTTGATAATCAATGATTCAATGTTCCAATCAGTGGAATCGTATTGCGATGACATCATATATTCAGATATCGTGATGTACCTTTGGCTGCTTTATGGTGATATTTATCACTATAAATCAGATAGCAAATGAAATCAGATAATTATATTATATTAGATATTGTTTATCACGTTGATGTAAAGTCACCTGGTTAACGATTAAATCAAGTAATCATGGCGTCATTATTGGTCGAAAAATACATTGTTCGTTTCTCGTTAGTGTCGATTCTCTCTGACCAATCAGACTTCCCCTTCTAGTATCACCTCAAATCACCTGGAGCCTCGAAACGGTTCCATGAATACAACCAGGTACTAGAGCGAGCCAAGTAGACAGACGTGTGAAGTACATACAAGCACCCATGTGGATCAAAGGGGACCTCTGTTGACCACAGTGCTGCTCCCCAGAGGACAAACCCATTGACCTTTTCCTCTACTGCCACCGTCTCATTTCTAGTTTTGATATTGGGGTCTACGATACAACTGTCTCACAACAGGAAGGTCCTGGTTCCTCTCTGTGTGCAGTCTGCATGTTCTCCCCGTGTCTGCGTGGTTCTCTCCGGTTCTCCGGGTTCCCCCACAGTCCAGAGACCTGCTCTGGGGATCAGGTTGATGGGGACTAGTTGCCTGTGGGTGTGTGAGTGGTTGTGTGTCTCTGTGTGGCCCTGTGATTGGCTCCAGCCCCCCAAGACCCCGTGTGCAGGATGAGCGGTGTGAGGATGGATGGTCTACGATACACACAGTAAATAAAAGTGGGCGTAGTCAGTGCGACGTCACCCATTGGTTTGTTGACGGATACTTTGACTGTCGCCATCTTGTTTTTTGTTGTTGTCTGTGTCTCCTCATGGACAGGAAGTGACCACATCTGGACTGAGGAGGACATAGAGACGTCGTCTACATCTCTGGTACAGACCTGTCAGTCAGCTGGTAGCCCCGCCCCCTGGTGGTCACCAGAGAGAATGCAGCTTTAATTCACCAAGCTTTGACTTCACTTAAAGAACGGAGGTTGTCTCCTTTCCTAGAGTCCTCAGGATTGCTGGATGAAAGGAACCTGCTGCCCCCGTGCACTCAACCAGAGGTCAGAGGTCAGGAAGCTGGCTGGGAGCTGTCTGTGTTCCTCATTAGCACTCAGCGGGCTTATCTGGGACACGTGTTCTTTATCGGCCTGGGCCCACCGGGGTCCAATAAGGATCTCCTGAGACCAGGTGAACCCTGACCCAGAGGAGGCGGGAGCTCCTTACCCAGACTGAAGGAGCAGATGTTGATGCAGCAGCAGCAGACGCCCGTCACGCAGCGCACGGCCAGGTAGAGGAAGGCCCGGGGGAGGAGGGCGGGCACGAGGCCGCAGAGGGCGTGCACGTACACGCACACCAGCAGCACCGTGCGCTTCCCATACCTGCAGCAGAGCGGCAGAGCGGCGAGGAGAGGTCAGCGGTGCGCGTGACTCGCAGACAGGTGGAGGACAGACAGGTGGCCGTACCTGTCGGATACGGCTCCTCCCACCAGCGATCCCAGCAGCAGGCCGACCATGTAGAGCGTCTGAGCGTACGCCAACCAGTCCGTCCAGTCACACACTAACTGACGCACACACACGTGGGAAACTTTGTTTTGATCTCTTTTATATTGATTTCATGTCCAAAAATGGCCCCAAATGCCCACTTTCTAATGTATGTATATAATACACACTGTAAATATCTCATTATATGTAACACATATAATACATTATATAGAGAATATGTAACGTAGCATTTTGATCAAGCTTCTTATGCATTTGTTTGTGTACAAAAATATAAATTCATGTTTTCTAGAACCTTCCTGGACACGATGTAATACATCCTAAGCATTTTCTTCTAGTTTAAATATGTATTTTTGAAGCTTAATTTCCTCTTGGTATGGCACACACGTTAATAACACGCTTATCTTCACATACTTATTGTGTTGTGTGATTGTGTGTCATGCACACATTAACAGCTTTGTGTTGCACAGTGTTAGTTTGTGTAACTCACGTCGAGGAAAACAACCCCGCCGAAAATGACCGCCACTCACGTTTCGCTTCCCGCCATCCGAGTCCTCCGCGGGCCGCGACCGGTTGCCGCCTTCCTCCGTGCCGTTGCCGTGGCGACAAGAGACGGCGGCGGCGGCGTAGACGTCCAGGAAGAAAAGGAAGGAGGTGAAGAAGTGGGCGAGGGCCAGGCGCCAGTAGACGGACAGCTGCAGGGGGGACACGGCGTCCCTCGGGGCCGGGGAGAAGCCCCTTGTGGCCCCCGGGCCCCTCCGGCTCCGTCCTGAAGGGTCCATCACTGGCGCGACGGCTTCTCTGGCGGAGGGAACAGCTGCTGCCGAGTTGTTGACCAGACAGCGTTCAAAGTGAACTTCGACCACGAGGCCCCCACCCTGCCAACCCTCCCCCTTATAAGGACGTGGAGCGGTGGAGGGCCGCCGGACTGCGACACCCTCTGGTCACCGGGCGCATTACACCCTTTAAGTGGTTCATTGACCACAGAGCAGCCGAATGACAGACAGACGACGGCATCAAGCCGGGGAACGAATTTATTTATCCATCAATCAGGATCAATCAGGATCAAAAGAGGAGTATGGGTATAGGGAAGGAGGTAGGGAAGGAGGTAGGGAAGGAACAAAGGAGACCCCGAAAACATTTTCACATTTTGGATTCACACAACACAACTGAAAGTATATCGCACATTAAAACCACTGAATACAAAGCAGATATATGTTTTATATCACATTATTAAAACTCAAAAAAATTCAAAAACCCAAATGCTATATATATATATATATATATATATAGTTTAGTTTTGATAGGAATCTGATGGAAAAAGGATTTGGGATTTTATATATACATATATATATATATATACATATATGTATATATATATGAGAAGGAGACTAAATGGCTGTCGTCCACGGTACAGTTGGGTGGCCCGTCCATTTCCCATCATGCTTTGCTGCCAGCGGTTCGGTGAACCTCCGTCACCACCACCGACGCGGCGGAGGCGGGGGTGGAGTAAACGGACGCCATGTTCTGAAGGCCGAGCATCAGGCAGCGCCAGCTGATGCGCAGCGCTTTGCCCACGTTCTGCCAGACGGAGACATGAAGACGATGCGTTTAGGGTTCAGGTTCGTCCACCGGGGACAATGAGGACACCGTATCAGTGTCCCTGGCTGAAGCTCTGCAGGAGCTGCGCTGGCAGAAGCTCATGGTTCCTTTACGTTGAACCCTCAGTGTTTTCTTCTCAAACATACATGTTCCTCAGAGGAACGTCAGGGATCCTGCTGTGAAGTCATGGTCCCCTTCAGATGGATCCTCAGGGTTTGTCTCTTTTGACAGTTGAAGTTGTAAATGTCACAGCGGCGATGCTGTTTAACACGTGTGTGGTTGCATTGTGCATGTGTGTATATATATATATATATATATATATATATAGGTGTTGATATTTAACTAACCCACACAGAAGTATTCCGTTATGAATACCGTGTTTTCGTGTCTTTCACAGCTGATGAAGGGGAGCTGTGTGAAGGTCAAAGGTCAAACACGCGATGCTGAGTCAATGTTTAACAGAACTCGTCATTCGTCGTGTTTTAGTTGCGTTGATGAAGCAGCTGTGTTTCATTCACGTAACACATTAATATACACAATATATATATATATATATGTACAATATAAAGTTATTATATCATGTAGCTTTTATCAAAGCCACTTACAGTAAGCGCGTTCAACCACTAGCATGCAACAGATGCGTCAAAATACATTTAGTTCAAAATGTCTTAAAGTTAAAATGACCAATAAGTTTAAAGTATGAGGAGAGATTTAGAATTCATAGTCGTTACTTTTTTATTCAATTGTTTAGGTGATTTGATTTCAGATGGATCTCTCCTGTCATATATATGTTGTCTGTATATATATACTGTTGTCATATATATTATTTAAACACATAAATATGTTTGTCTTATTATCAGTGCATACAGTTATATAACATATAGTTGTTTAGATTTGGGGGCATCTTTTAATAATTAGGTTTTGGATTAAAAAAATGTTTTTTTCTTTAAAGTCATATTTCTGAAATGTTATCTTTGTTTTTTATATATAATCTGATATTTAATTCACATTTCTTTTGTACTTTATTAACATTTCTGTTACTTAACTTTTTGTTCATCTCACTTTTCTTCCATCAATAAACAATCACACCCTTCAAACTTTTCTTCTTACCTTCCTGTACTTCTTGTACTTCTTCTTCTTCCTGCTCTTCTTCTCCTCCTTCCTCCTCCTCCTCTCCTCCTCCTCCTCCTCCTCCTCCTCCTCGATCAGCGGCTCGTATCGATCCGGCAGGACGGAGAAGAAAACCTCTTTGCTGTTCTTGTGTTGCTTGTTCTTCTCCGGCGGAGGAGCCTCCTCCTCCTCCTGCGCTCCCATCCCTCTGGTGGACTCCTTCTCCTCCTCTGACTTCCTTGTGCCCACGCAGGAGGACCTTTGGATCCGGGAGGAGCCCCCTTATGAGCAGCCCGGGGCCTCCAGACAGGAAGGATCGCAGGAGGAATGTGGACTTTGCTCCTCTGTTGACGTGAACTCTGCTCTTTAAAGTTGGAGTTTCTTTTTGCTCGTGTTGGATCGTCTGATGTTTGTTTATCGGATGTTTGTTTATCTGATGTTTGTTTATCCGATTGGCAGAATAAAGACTGAACATTGAAAGTCAGAAAAACGAGTTCTGTTAATTTAACAAAAAGAAGACAAGCTGGAGGGTTTCTGCTGTTGTTGAAATGAATTCACTTTTATTAAGTTCTGTCCCGGTTTGACCCCCCCTCTGCGGCAGTGCTTCTGGGGGCCTTCACTCCCCGAGGAGATCCAGGCGAGGCCTCGAGGCCCCCGGAGGAGGTGTGCACGTGGGCTCTGGTCCCCGCGTTGGAGAGGACGCTGTCCTGCCCTTCAGTCCACACCTGGACGAAGGCCTCAGAGGCCCCGGCCCGGCTGCCCATCGCCTGCATCGACCCCTCGCGCCCCGTGTCCCAGCTCAGGGAGACGAGGAGGGTCGGTGCAGAGGCCCCAGACGCCCAGAGGGTTTTAATAAAGGAAGCTCTGTGCGGCTTCCAGGGAGAAGAGAAGCAAAGACGAGGATTAAGAGAAAAACAATATCTGACATTCCGGAGGTGAAAGGGATGAACTCTGTGATCAGCGGATTCCCCTTCAAGCCTCTTTCATGAGCTTCTAACGGATCATAAAAGGCTCCGTGTTCATTCGACAGAAGAAAGAAACACACCGCGAGCCGTAAGCAAATAACCCCACTGCCAGAATATACATTCAGATCTGATCTGAAACAATCATTTCATATTCTCTATTCTTTGTTTGTCTAAAGTTAGTTCATGTCATTCTGAAAAACATAAAAGCTAATTTAAACCTAAGAATAAGAATAACATGTTTCATAAAACGTTGTCCATAAATCATTCATAGTCTAACTAACAAATCATGAATGGAAACAATTAACATCATCAGTTTGAAATACAGTCTAAAGTTCTCATGCTTTCAAAGATTTGAATAAGAAAAGTATTTTTTCCCTGTCATCGGAACCTTTCTCTGGCAGATCAGCGCAGCACGGATATTTCAAAGTGCGGAACCGAGGTCAGCGACATACCGGAAACAGTCCCCTAACAAATGATTTACAACCTTCAGAAGAAAGTTGAAGAAAGAGGAGCAGCGCATTGAAACCACAGTGTTTTCTTCTGATTCTCGCTTTTATTCTGAATTATTTGGACGGAAGTTGATCTTCCGACCTGTCACTGGTGTATCTCTTCTTCTTCTTTGGGTCAGTAAAATCGACCACTATTATTTCTTAGTTGTGTATATTGAGCCGTTAATAAACGTTTTTTAGTCAAATATAAACTATGAACAGTTAGGTTTTGGTTGTCAGTAACGACAGTGAGTTTCCGGTGAAGCTAAATGCTAATGCTACAGCTCACAGGTCGTGCTAGCTAGGTGTAGGACGTTAGCTAGCTAGCACCTGTAGCTAACCTGTATTAACAGTTAATGAATTATTATAAGGACTTTGCACGATTTAAATATTCTTCAGCTGCTGGTTTATACTCCATAGTTTTAATTTACTGCATTTATATTGCGTTTTATAATAAATCATTAAAACTAAATATAGTCCTACTATTTTGTATCAAACTAAATGCAAATATTTAAATGAGCTCCACATCAGAAATGCAATGTGAATTATGCTGCTTAATGTGTACTTTTACCTTTCGTCAAGTATGTTTTGAGCAACTTCTTTAGTCCTTATATTTTAAATTTAGACATTTTATGTATAGCAAGTAATATTTATTACACACAATATGTATAACTGAAGGAAAATATCCTGGAAACTTATAACATTACACATACACACACATTTTAAAACATCTGCACACATTTCTGGAGTAATTTGATTAAAATGTAAATATTGGTGCGTTTCTCCAGATACAGTTCAGCAAAAACCAACGGTTTCCCATTTTTAAGAAACTACAATAATGGAGTTCCTTGTCTTCGTCTTTGTGTCTCATTGCTGCAGCTGGATTGATGTCCGATATCTGGAGGTCAGAGTTTGTCTGAAGGACGCTATGATGTCCCACGTCAGGAGGACGTGGTCTCTGGGAAGAAACCGCTCAGGTGTCTCCTGTAGAACAGGCTCCGCCTCCATCGCCACATGCAGTGGCGACGCAGCGCTGGTCCTGCTGTCCCGGTCCAACGACGTGTTTCAGAATCTGGCTCTGGAGGACTGGATCGAGGCTAACGTGGACCTGCAGCGCCGCGGCGTCCTGCTGCTGTGGAGGAACCGGCCGGCCGTGGTCATTGGGCGCCACCAGAACCCGTGGGCTGAGTGTCACCTGCCGGCCATGAGGGGAGGGGGCGTGCCCTTGGCCCGGCGGCGGAGCGGCGGCGGTACCGTCTTCCACGACCTCGGGAACCTCAACCTGACCTTCTTCTCCTCCAAGACGTCATACGACCGGAGGAGGAACCTGAAGGTCGTCACGGAGGCGCTGAGGCAGCTCCGCCCCGCGCTGGACGTCCGGGCCACCGACAGGTTCGACATTCTACTCAACGGACACTTCAAGATCTCAGGTGGGACGACAGGACGGGAACTATATTTCCCAGAGAGCACTGCTGTAGAAGCGTGTCAACAAACACGTTATCATTACTGTTACAGGAAGTGCCGCCCGACTGAGCAGGAAGTCATCGTACCACCACTGCACCCTGCTGCACTCCGCCGACCACTCCGCCCTCGCCAACGTGCTCCGCCCCTCTTGTCCCGGTATCCAAAGCAACGCCACGCCCAGTGTGCCGTCGCCCGTCGCCAACCTGTTGGACCACGCCCCCACGCTGCAGTGGGAGGAGCTGCTGGACGCCCTGGTGCGCCAGTACAACGCAGGTACATAGCTGGAGGGGTGAAATACTGCCTCTTTAGTCACGTGGTACAAATAAACAGGGATAAACAGGAAATAGAAATGCAACATATTAAAAATACATTACTATTTATTGCAAATAAAATATGTTAAATACATTTTAAAATGACAATATATTTAAATTGTTTCTGATTAAAGTGTTCTCCTCATTCGTACCCGCAGAGTTCAGCTCCTCCTCCTCCTCCATCACCGTGGACCCTGCGGACGAGGCAGCGTTCCCCGGTGTCGCCGCGGCGGCGGCGGAGCTGCGCAGCTGGGATTGGACGTTCGGCCGGACGCCAAAGTTCCGCGTGGAGACCGTTCTGCAGCTGGCGGATGAGCGGACGGCGGCTCGCTGCTCTGCCCGCCTGCAGGTGGAGGTGAAGGGCGGCGTTGTGGAGAGCTGCCGGTTGGACGTCCCCGCCGACTGGCTGCCGCCGCGGCTGAGCGGCGAGCTGAGCGGCGTGCTGGTCGGCGGGAGGTTCTGCCGCCACCGGGCCGCTGCCGCCGTCACCGAGCTGACGAGGTCGGAGAGCGGCGAAGCGAGGAGCCGACTGAAGGAGCTCGGCGACGCCGTACTGACGGCCATGGGGTGAAATGTATTGATCTGCTGGAGGAGGAGGAGCTTCTTCATCTTCTTCCTTCTTCACAAACAAGACAATTATTTGATCAGAGAAAGCTGATCAATGTGCTGCTAGAGACCCACGGAACAAACATTAAACAAGGTCAATCAAGGTTAATAATAAATGCATTTTTACTGGTGTTTTTGCCATTGCCATGTTTGTGTTTTTCATGTTTAATATATTTTTTAACAGTTGTCTTTGTTATAATAACGCAAAAAATATGTATTATGTATTATTACAGGAAGTGCTATTTGGAACATTAGATATCAGGTAAAGAGATACTAAATAAATTGTGAAATATTATTTGATCTATGAACATAAATGTGGCCTTGAACCAGGTCGAGTTTCCTGCTGTTATTAATGCTTACAGTGAATAAATGAACAGTTTATTGGTTTATGGTCCAACTTCTTGGCTTTTTTAACAGAGTTAACAATTGTATGATCTGTATGAATTCATATATTTTAAGTTTTAGGTAAATGTATGTGTGGGATTCTCTGCTGGAACTGTTGGCCGCGCGACCCGAGCCCGGACATGCGGTTCAAGAGGATGAGGTAAGTAGATTTATTGTATTGTAGATTATTTAAAATAAAATGTGTATTTTGTCAAAAACATGACGAAGCACAGCGGGCTCGTGTCGCAGGACGCATGCGCACTTCGCCCGATCCTGGCCATGCTTGCTGCTGCGGATGAGAGACAAATGGAAGCGGTCTCACTCTGACATTTTCTCCAAGAAACTAAATCGCAAGTTATACGTTATATTTTTCAGATTGTGGTATACAAGGGAGTAACCCCGCCTCCTTTGGGGGGGGGGGGGGGGGGGTCGTGTCCCCCCCAAACGGGGGAACGCACCGGGACTCTCTGAGCGGAGAGCATCCTTGGTCGTATAATACTTATTACATATTCATGCGTATTTGTTTGGGCCGACATGGGCTCTATATTTAATAAATACAATTACATTCTGATGAGTGAAGAATATTGAATAAGAAGAATATATATGTATGCCTTTCACTGTTTAGATGAGTGGATGAGCACTTTTTAAAATATTATATAATTTATTTCTGTATATTGTTTTACTTTGTCTTCAATGTAACTATACAGCCATACAATCAGAAAAAGATTACTACAAATGTTTTAAAAATTAAAACATTTTGTAATCGTAACTGTCATTCCCAGATCGTCTTACATGTTGAATAAAAGGCATTCTGATATTTTATTTTATTTAATTAGTCTCTAAACAAATCGAACATTTTCTCAATAATATATTGTGTTACATTCAGCACGTTATTTTACTAATTGTTCTTTTGAAATACAAAACAAGTAAAGAAACTTCACAAGGCATATAATTAGATGAAAATAACGACAAATGAAAACCGTCGTTCCGCTGGCAGGAATAAGCTGCGGAGTGAGCCGTCGCCTTTAATTCCCGTTGCTAGGCGATCTTCGCCTGGATGTGAACCCATCGTGTGCGCCTAGCGGAATTAACCGGAAACCGGAGCACCGCGGCGGCAGCAGGATGGGGAAGAAACAGAAGAAGTCCGGAGAGGACAGGTAGACCGAACACCGTCACGCTGACACCTGTGCGCGCTGACACCGCACAGCTTTGAGCACTGAGGTCACAAACAAAAAGCTTCCCGCCGTTAGCTTAGCGGCTAAAGGGACGCGAACCACGAGAAGCCAGCCTGCATAGCATCCCGGCTAGCATACCTTAGCGTTAGCTCACACTGACCCGGACTATCGGCCCTTTAAGTGGGCTTTAAACGTCAACCACGTGCCCCGACTGTCCGTTCAACGGCCGCTAATCTGCCCATTTAAGATAGTCGCTAAATGCAGTCCCAGGGTCCCTCAGTGATGCTAAGCTAGTCGGTAGCTCTACGATCTGTGGTCCCAGTAAAAGCAACCGTTTCAGCTATTGGTAGCATGATGTGACGTCACACACGAGTACTAATGCTATACCGAATATACTCCACTAAAAGTACTGCCTTTCGTCAATGAGTACATGGAAATATTAAAGTTAAATATGCTGTACAATTACAGTATATCATACACTGGTTTAGCTTATTCTAGAATATTACGTCATACTACTAAGTTATGTGCTTTGGTTTGTATATGTGCGTTGAATATAGAAATCAATTTAAAAATGAATATTAAAATGTGAATATATAAATACAAATGAATGCCTCAATAACCAATTTCATTAAAAAAACACAAAATACCAGGTCAATAATTTAAAAGGTAAATGAATACATTTTCGCTGCCTTTATTATATTTTTATAATGAAATCCGTTTAATCCGCGGTAATAAGTCCCGCCTCCAGAAGAGTTGTTTGTACTTTCCGCTGCTGAAGCTGCTGGCGATGGCGCTGCAGAGGTGGCTGCTGGGTAATAAAAGGCTGTGATGAAAGCGTCCAGTCAGCAGCTCTTCGTCGCTGCTCATTGTACCGGAACAAAGAGCTGACCCCCCCCCCCCCCCACCTTGGTCACATGAGGAGTCCCGATCGGCTGGTTATTGATTTAACGTGTTGTTATCGATCCGTCCTCAGTAACAAAGAGGACGGCGTGGACATCGACGCTCTGGCGGCAGAGATCGAAGGAGCCGGAGCCTCCAAGGAGCCCAAAGGGAAGAAGAAGAAGAAAGGAGTCAAGAAGGACAACTACGAGTATGCCGCCGTACCTCCTGCTCCTCCTCTTCTTCCATTGTCACCTCCTTATCATCTTCTTGCTCCTCTTCCTTCCTATCATCATCTTCTTCACCGTTCTCCTCTTCCGCATCATCATCACCGTCATCCTCCCCTTCTTCTTTCTCATCTTCTTCTTCCTCTTCTTCGTCTTCCTATTTCTCATTTTGTCCTTCATCATCCTCCTCATCTTCTTCCTCATTGTCACCTCCCTTTTCTCCTGCAGTGAGGATGACATCCTGAAGGAGCTGGAGGAGTTATCTCTGGAGACTCATGGAGGAAAAGCCCAAGTGAGCTGGAACATGCTAATGGAAGCTAATCCTTTAGCACTGATATATTTGAAATGTTTTTGTTTTATTAAGAAATTGATTCTTTCAACTCTGCAGAAAGCTGACGAGCCAGAGAGCGTAGAGCCTCCAAAACCAGAGAAGAAGAAGACCAGGAAGGGGAAGAGGGCCGCGGCCAGCCCCGAGGAAGAGGAAGCCGACGAAGGAGAAGCTGTAGCCGATGCAGAAAGGAGGAACGGAGAGGAGGAGGAGGAGGAGGGTCAGGTGAGGAGTCTTTACCCCGAATAGAAATAAACCTTTGAATCTTTAAGTGGAAATTTGTCCCTTCTGAGCCTCCATACTTTCTCCTCCAGGCGCCCCCTCCTGCTCTTCCCTCCGACGAGGACGCCGGCTCGCGACATTGCCTTGTGACCAAAGGAGGCAAAAAAGCCTCGTCGGTGGAGGAGGAGGTCAAAGACGTACAAGGAGGGGAAGAAGGAGAGAAGGAGTCAGGAGACGAAAAGGAAGGGGACTTTACCTACAGGACGGAGATAAAGAAGAATAAAAAAGGTAAAGCGGCAAAAGCAGACAGCGAGGAGGAGCAGGAGGAGGAGGAGGAGGAGCAGCAGCAGGAGGGAGGAGGAGGCTTTAAGATGAAGACAGCGGCACAGAAGAAGGCAGAGAAGAAAGAGAGGGACAAGAAGAAGAAAGAGGAGGAGAGGATGAAGCAGAAGAAGCTGAAGGAGGGCAGCGTGGAGCTCCCGAAAGAGCCAGTGAAGAAGATGGAGGAGGAGGCCACGCCCCCGCCAGAGGCTCCGCCTGCAGCAGAGCTGGAAGGGGCGGAGCCGGCAGGTGACGGTAAGATGCTCAGACGAGAGAATTATCACAGCTTTTTTCAAGCAGCACTGTTTCCACTATTCTTCTTCTTCTCCGTTGTTATTTGTCGCAGAGGAGATGGAGGGTGACAAGAAGAAGAAGGACAAGAAGAAGAAGAAGAAGGGGGAGAAAGAGGAGAAGGAGGAGAAGAAGAAGGGACCCAGCAAGGCCACGGTGAAGGCCATGCAGGAGGCCCTGGCCAAGATGAAAGAGGTAGGGGCATTCTGATTAATGCAGTCTAGGAGGTGTGGCAAGTTCTTCCTTTGTGGTGTTTCTCAGGGTTCTGTTGTGTTTTTGCAGGAAGAGGAGCAAGCCAGGAGGGAGGAGGAGGAGCAACTGAAGAGGCTGGAGGAAATGGAGAAGGAGAGGCTGGAGCAGGTAACACAGCGCCTCCTTTTTTTAGTGTCATCTCATCCGTCCAACTCCTTCTTACCTTTGACCCCCTCTGATAGGAGCGCCTAGAGCAGGAGCGCAAGGAGAAGAAGAAGCAGAAGGAGAAGGAGAGAAAGGAGCGCCTGAAGAAGGAGGGGAAGCTGCTGACTAAAACCCAGAAGGAGGCGCGGGCCCGGGCCGAGGCCACGCTCAAACTGCTGCAGGCTCAGGGTGAGGCTACGTAGCTTAGCACAACGACTGCTACCCCACTATGTCCGCTGCTCCTCGTGACCGCGTGCTCCACCTGTACAGGGGTGGAGGTTCCCTGCAAAGACGACTCCATGCCCAAGAAGAAGCCGGTGTACGGGGACAAGCGGAAGAAGAAGCCGGCGGTTCAAACCCCCGAAGGTACGAGGTCTGATGACACGTGTCGCCTGTCATGCGTGTGTGTGTGTGTGTGTGCATATGTATATAAATACATAAACCTTCCTCATAGAAACCTCCGAGGTGACCTCGCCGACCCCGGAGATGCCCGAGCCCGTCGCCGCGGAGACGCCGGCCGCGGAGACGCCGGCCGCGGAGACGGGTGAGTTGCCACAGGTTTCTGTTTAATGTGGCATTGTCGTCATGACAACGATTTCATCTGAAGTCTTCTTCTCCTCCTCTCTTCTTCTTCTGTGTCAGCAGTGAAACCAGACCCGGCAGTAGACGACTGGGAGGCCATCGCCACAGACGAGGAGAAAGGTGAGGAGGAGCAGTGAGGAGGTGTTAATACCCGCAATACAGTGCTTGTAGTATTTTCAGCAGTACGAATAAACTGTCTTGTGTCAGAGTTGAAGAAAGTCCACATCGAGGTGAAGGAGGACAGCGGCGCGCCTCCTCGGCCCATAGGCAGCGAAGAGGACGAGGAGGATGAGGAAGACGATGACCACGAAGAGGAGCAAAGCGAGGAGGAGGAGGAGGACCTGACACCAGCCGTATCGAGCCACGGGAAGAGGAGGGCCAACGACAGCGAGGAGGAGAGCACCGAGAGTGAAGATGACGACGGGATGACGAAGGAGGAGCGCCTCTACGACAGAGCCAAGAGGAGGATCGAGGTGAGATGAAGGAGGAATAGGAAGACAGAGGTGGAGGAGCACCTCCTCACCTGGTCTCTAACTCCTCCTCCTTGTGTTTCCATAGAAACGAAGAGCAGACAACATGAAGAACATCGACCTGGACTCGCTGAGGTCTCCGGTGGTCTGTGTGCTGGGACACGTGGACACCGGCAAAACCAAGATCCTGGACAAGGTGAGGCGCCCCACCCCTCACTTCCTGTTGACTTCCTGTCTGTAACGGTCGCCGTGGTAACCTCCCCCTCTGTGTAGCTGCGTCACACCAACGTTCAGGACGGGGAGGCCGGAGGAATCACTCAGCAGATCGGAGCCACCAACGTACCCAAAGAGACCATCGAGGAGCAGACGAGGATGGTGAAGAACGTACGTATCGATGATGTCATCACCATCGCAGCTTATTGATGATGTCACCAGGGTGATGACGTATTGATCTGAATGACTGCAGTTTGAAAAAGAGAACCTGCGGATCCCCGGCATGCTGATCATCGACACACCGGGACACGAGTCCTTCAGGTACGACACAGCAACACCACCAGGTACAGACACCGCCAGGTACTCACACCGCCAGGTACAGACACCGCCAGGTACAGACACCGCCAGGTACTGACACCGCCAGGTACAGACACCGCCAGGTACAGACACCGCCAGGTACTGACACCGCCAGGTACTGACACCGCCAGGTACTGACACCGCCAGGTACAGACACCGCCAGGTACTGACACCGCCAGGTACTCACACCGCCAGGTACAGACACCGCCAGGTACTGACACCGCCAGGTACTGACACCGCCAGGTAACCAGGTACACCACCAGTTAGGAGTGCTGATGCTCATTGATTGACTGACTCATTGATCCAGTAACCTGAGGAACCGAGGCAGCTCGCTCTGTGACATCGCCATCCTGGTGGTGGACATCATGCACGGCCTGGAGCCTCAGACGCTCGAGTCCATCAACCTGCTGAAGGAAAAGAAGTGCCCCTTCATCGTGGCCCTCAACAAGGTGGGTCCCCTCCTCCTCATCTGTGCCCCTCCCCTCCCGGTCACCTGACCGCCGTGTTGTCTGTCCTCAGGTGGACCGCCTCTACGACTGGAAGAGGAGTCCAGAGACCGACGTCCAGGCTACGCTGAAGAAGCAGAAGAAGAACACAAAGGACGAGTTCGACGAGAGGGTCAAGGCGGTCATCGTGGAGTTCGCTCAGCAGGTGGGACGAGGTCGCCCAATCACAGCGTCCCGCGTGCAGAGCGAGCAATCTGATTGGTTCATGGATGAAGACTTCATTTAGTACTTTATTCAGAATCGATTAAATCAATACTTGGTTTGCTGGATGTGAGGTTTGTTTTGTTGTGTCCATAAGGCTCTAAACACTGAGTGTGTGTTGCAGAGCGATTTGTAAACATTCCTCGTTTTAATAATGGCGGCATCGGGCTGTGAAAGCGGAAACGTGAGACTCCGTAAAGGACGTAGTTAGCGGACCCATCGCAGCCTGGTGCGCTGCGGGAGGCTGCGTCGCTAGAAAAATGGGTCGACACACGCAGGGACACGCCAGGGTGTGTGAAAAGGGACACGCCAGGGACACGCCAGGGTGTGTGAAAAGGGACACGCCAGGGACACGCCAGGGTGTGTGAAAAGGGACACGCCAGGGACACGCCAGGGGGTCTTGCGTCTGCGTCGCTCTGAAAACGCAGAAGCATAAACTGGGCGCCACGTCGCCACGGCTAGCAGGCAACAGCGAGTAAATTGATTGTTTTCTGTTGCTCCCCAGGGTCTTAATGCCGCCCTGTTCTACGAGAACAAAGACCCGCGGACCTTCGTGTCGCTGGTTCCCACCTCGGCCCACAGTGGCGACGGGATGGGGAACCTCATCGCGCTGCTGGTGGAGCTAACGCAGACCATGCTAGCCCGCCGGCTGGCGCACTGCGACGAGCTGCGAGCTCAGGTCATGGAGGTAAGGGGTCCCGGGGCTCTCGTGCTTCTGTTCCGATGGCGAGCCGGCGCCGCGTTGACCCCGTGTGTGTCTCCAGGTGAAGGCTCTACCCGGGATGGGAACCACCATCGACGTGATCCTCATCAACGGGCGCCTGCGGGAGGGAGAGACCATCATCGTGCCGGGGGTGGAGGGGCCCATCGTCACGCAGATCCGGGGCCTGCTGCTGCCGCCGCCTCTCAAGGAGCTTAGGGTCAAGGTGATTTTCAAAATAAAAGCCCAGAGATATGTGTGCGGAACGCTGAGTCTTCAGGTGTATTGATTGCCGATGGTTTTACTTCATGGATTCATTAGAGCCAGTACGAGAAGCACAAGGAGGTGTCCACGGCTCAGGGGGTGAAGATCCTGGGAAAGGACCTGGAGAAGACGCTGGCCGGGCTCCCCCTACTGGTGGCCCACAAGGACGACGAGATCCCCGTCCTAAGGGTAACGCACAAACACGTGCCGTAGTTTAACCAGCCTACTGGGCGGCTCCCCGCTGATGGCGGCTGCTGGTTTTCAGGATGAACTGATCCGGGAGCTCAAGCAGACGCTGAGCTGCATCAAGCTGGAGGAGAAAGGGGTCTACGTCCAGGCGTCCACACTGGGGTCTCTGGAGGCGCTGCTGGAGTTCCTCCGGACCTCCAAGGTCCCGGTGAGTGTCTGTCTGTCTGTCTGTCCGGACACTAAAGCTGGTGTCATTTAAAAAGCTCTCTCTGTGTGGTGGTGGGCTTTTACTCTGAAAAACAGCAGGAAGTTGACCTTTGACCTCTGTGTGTCTCCTCAGTACGCCGGCATCAACATCGGCCCCGTTCACAAGAAGGACGTCATGAAGGCGTCAACGATGCTGGAGCACGACCTTCAGTACGAGGCTGCTGCTGTGCACACACACACACACACACACACACACACACACACACACACACACACACACACACACCTGTGTGTGTAGTAGTTAATTACCTGTGTGCAGGTACGCCGTGATCCTGGCCTTCGACGTGAAGGTGGAGAGGGAGAGTCAGGAGATGGCCGACAGCCTGGGAGTCCGGATCTTCTCTGCAGAGATCATCTACCACCTTTTTGACGCCTTCACCAAGTTCAGGGAGGACTACAAGAAGGCCAAGCAGGACGAGTTCAAGTAGGAGAACCACAGTAAAATGCATGAATACAACGTACGGAGGTTCTCTCAATGCTGCGCTGTTACTTTCTGATAGTTTGTAGGGTTTTTTCTTCATGCATAAACCCCTTCAATGGAATATTGTGTACTTATTGTCCTTAATGTTTTTAATGATGTTTCATAACCGATGTTTTTATCGCTTGTTTCAGGAACGTCGCTGTTTTCCCAGCGAAGCTGCGAGTTCTTCCTCAGTTCATCTTCAACTCGCGGGACCCCATCGTCATGGGCGTCACCGTGGAGGCGGGGGTGCTGCGGCAGGGCACGCCGCTCTGCGTCCCCAGCAAAGGGGTGAGACCCCCCTCCCTTACAGCAGCCGTGTTCCTTCTGTTTGGCCGAGCTTCATTCCTTTTCTTGCTCTCCTCAGTTCGTGGACATCGGCATCGTCACCAGCATCGAGATGAACCACAAGTCGGTGGACAGCGCCAAGAAGGGCCAGGAGATCTGCGTGAAGATCGAGTCCATCCCCGGGGAGTCGCCCAAGATGTACGGCCGCCACTTCGAGGCCACCGACGTCATCGTCACCAAGGTGAGGAAGATGTTTTTTTTCTCGGTTAGAGCCCTTCCTGCTGAGGTATTTCACATTAAAAGCTTTCCGATATTCTTCAAGGTGGGTGGAAAGAAACTTCCATTGTCCCGCTCTGTGATTGGTCGGCTTTGGCAGTCTGAGCTTTACAAGGTGTTTTTGTTATTGTGTTTTATGAAGTTAGCTTTTCCTTAGTTAATAAATTATTTCTTCATCATTATTTTCATTCTATTCAGTTATTGTCTTAACTGTCTTTAAAAAAAATCATTTGAGACTTATTTTTATTACATAATTCCTGTATGTATTTTTATCTATACAGCAATTGACGATGAATGAATAAAGATTTCTTTCTCATCTATTGACATTATGTTCATACAGAAAGAATGTTTGTCAGTGAACATTAATATTATCACGACATCTAATCATAACTATCTATTGTCCCCCTCTTATTTTATTGTGAAACATCCGCAGGAAGTGATGCGTTTCACAGAAACAAGTAGACACATCTGTTCCGTTTCTTCTCAGATCACGCGGGCCTCCATCGACGCTCTGAAGAGCTGGTTCAGAGACGAGATGACGAAGACCGACTGGCAGCTGATTATGGAGCTGAAGAAGACGTTCGAGATCATCTGAGGGACCACACGCACACACGCACACGCACACACACGCACACACACACACACACACACACAGACACACACACACACACAGACGCACACCTTTACGTGGACGATGCTTGAAAAGGAAACGGGAGAAACGTTTTTCTGTGAGAAACAAACTGTTTTTTTTCTACTGTTGTAAACAGTGAAAGTTTAAACCGCACGCACACACACACACACAAACACACACGCACACACACACAGTATTCCAACGTGCCTGTCCTTCAGCATCTGCGTTGTCATTATTTCTTCTCTGGTTCCCTCCGGACTTAACAAGCTCAACAGTGAGCCGGCGTGCGACTGAACACTGGTGCATTGTGGGATTTGATTTTTTTTTTTTCTGGTTCTCACAAAAAGACCAAAACACGGAAGCGCCGTCGTTGACTTTAAAAGACTTTTTATGAGGCTCGAGTGACGGAGGATTTTAATTTGCCGATGAAATAAAGTCAACGTGATTCGGGGAAGTTTCCTTCTGTTCAGAAGAAGAAACTCCACCACCATGAAAAACACATTAAAAGCTTTTATTTTCTAAAAACAGCTTTGGAAATATAAACTCCTGTGTTTCATTCGTGTTGCTTTAAAAAGAAAAAAGTTTGAAAACAACCTCCTAAGCATTTTTTTGAACTTTATTGTGAAAACCATTTTAGAGATTCTGGAATAAAAAGTAAAAATCAGCTTTGCTGTTTTTAGTTTGAATATAAAAGTCCAGTTAGAAAATAAAACAATTAAAAATGCGTAAAAATCACATCTTTCTTATATGTAGAACCTACAAACAAGTTTTAAAATTGGTCGAAGTTGTAAATGCGCAAAATCGTTTCTATTAGGAGGCTGAAACTTTTGAATTATGGTAATAAAAATGATCTATTTTGAAAAAGTACAGTGCTTATTAATACCATCATACCAATACTACCCAGAATTAATCCTGACAGAACATTTACACTGAATATTTGCAATTTAAGGGCATTTTCTAGAAAGCGGCGATGTTTAAATGTGTTGACTAACTTAACTTCAATGTGACCTTAACGATGAAAAAAATATAATGTAATAAACATAAATACTGTTAAGCCATTTTTAACCTAAAATTCAAACTAGATGAAGAATTACAGAAATAGTTTAATCAACGCATTTTGTAGAGTTTTAGTTTTTCATTGTGACAAATGGGGCCTTCGCCGGGTTCGTCCTCCGGGGAGACGTTCCTGCCTGTTAAAACCAAACCGTAGCCCCGCCTTCTCTCGGACGGAAGCCGTCACACGGGGGCCGCGATGAAGTGCCCGTGGAGGTCCATGTGGACGGGGGCCGGGATGGAGGCCCGGGCCACCTCCTCCAAGCTCCTGGCGTCGAGGACGAGCATGAACGGCGAGATGTTTGGGTCCGGCGAGATGACGGAGGACAAGATCACCCCTGAGAGAAGGACAGAAGGAGGACAGATCAGAACCGTCTTATCCCGCTTCCGATGCCGGACGCACGTTGCGGCGCTCACCGTCGTCTTCCTCCACGGCTCCCGGAGACGCCACGAAGACCGGCTCCGACGGGAAGCAGTTCTCCTGCCGCCACTCCACGTGCTCTCGGGTGACGATGTCAAACTTTGCGATCTGTCCAGCGGGGGGAGGAGGGGGAGGGGGGGGGGGGGTCACTATCGAGATCTACAAGTGTACAACGTGCGCCGCGTTCAGGGACAGCCGTAACAAAACGGCGTCCCGTTGTCTCAATTGTTACAGGAGATCTCCGGGGGGATTTCTGCATCGACTCGTCTGAGAAATCCGTCTCATAAATCCCTCGAAGGTACAGCAAAGGCTGCTGGGAAAGTCCTTTTCTTTAATTATAAGTAGCTGCCTCTGTCGGTCGGCCCACAATGTTGTAGTTTATTATTCGGAGCTTCCTCTGGGTTCACCCACTGGGGAGCACGAGTGTCCGTTGGGATGTTTCCTTCGTTCTGTCTGTCAGAGGCGGCTCACCTTGTTGGGATGGGGCGACCACTCCATCCTGGAGCCGTAGAAGTAGCGGTACTTCTTGCCGTTGAAGCCGTAGTTGATCGCTGGCAGCTCTAGACCTGAGGAGGAGAACGTGTTATCCGGGTGGAGGACGGATCAAACGCCGTCAAGGACAACGAACCTTCAAAGAGCGTTTCTGGCCGGCAGTAGACGGAGCCGTCCTCGTGCTTCACCGCCCGGGCAGTGGTGTCCGTCAGGGTCACCAGTTCGGATCCTCCGGGGGCGTCCTGGAGAACGCATCACCGCGGCCGTTACCACGGGCAACAGCGTCAAAAGAAATGGGGTATCGGGGGTTGGGGTTTGTGGCTTCACCTTGCTGGTGTGGAGCGGCAGGACGAACCTCTGGCACACCGGCGGCGAGCAGTCCTTGTTGCTCTCCACCAGGGCCTCGCTCTCCTGCCGCATGTTGCGCAGGTAGAACATGTCGTACAAGTTGCTGTCGCGGTAGGCGATCAAGTCGAGGACCACGTGGCCGTCGGCCTCGTAGGCGTTGATGTGGTGGAAGACCACCAGTGGGTCGCCGTGGAAACGGGTGGAGACGGCCTTTCCCGTCTTCTTGTCAACGACGTGAAACAAAGTCTGGGGGGAGTGAACATTTTATTCTCACTTCACCACAAACACACCGCTCACTTTAACCGGATTTTGTAAATTACATTGAATTCTAATGGGATTCAACCAGGGAGCCATGATGGATTCGCCTGAGAACAACGACTGGAGGTGGTCACATGACCAACGTTGTGACGTGACCAATGACCAGTCGGACCCTAGTGAAGGTGCGTCATTCCAAGTCGGGACTAACAATGTCGTCCTTGTCGAACTTGAGGCAGCTGCCCCAGTTGACCCCTCTGAAGTAGGCGGTGGCCAGTTTGACGATATCCAGCTTGAAGGGCTGCTCCACGAACACCACGTAGTTCTCCGTCATGCCGAAGCTGTGGTAGTAGCTCGGGAACAGGGTGGAGCGGAAGGGGATCGAACACACCTGCTGGACTTTCCTCAGCGCCGGCTTCTTATTCTTGTTGTCTATACGGTGAAAAAAAGTTATTATTTGTTATCAAACTTTTCAAGGATGCAGGAAAGCTCGCAGCTCTTCAAGTACTCCTGGCTAGTTAGCAAGTTAGCTAGCCACCTAGCGCGCGGGGGGGAGGGGCGGACTAGCCGTTGGTATCTGTGGCTCTCTATCCTTCACCATGCTTTGGTCTCTTGACACCAGGATCCTTCCTGGTTTTTCGTACACGGTACTCTGCTCCTTCTCGTCCTCGCTGTAGAACCCTTTGGGTTGCCCGATGTTTTACTTCATCTGTATTTTTACCTGCTTCAACGTCGTAACGTTCTGCCACGCCGCCTGTCTCTTCTAGAACTTGATTGATATCAAGTCGGTATCCAGGACACTCAGATTGGGGAACCGTAAATCAATTATAATGTTTGAGATAAGCAGGTGGAGTTCTGGACCTCAGGTTCAATGTTGATCATCTCAAATGCAAAGTTCCTCTCCAGGATCCTGGTAAAGGCACCTGGGGCCCACACGTCTTTATGCTTTTTAATCTTCAGAACGCTGCAGGCCTTACCCGAGGCGTCGGCCGGGACTTTGAAGATGACGTACTTGGGCAGGCCCATGCCCATGATGGCGGTGCCCATGTTGTAGGTGTTGCCCTCGTTGTCGTAGTGGGGGTGAGCCGTCGCCAAGTTCAGAGCTATGTGGTTCCTGTAGTTGATCTAGAACGAAGAGAACACGATTGCTTGAAGGAAGTATTGGTACTCTGAGGAGGTGATGGAGACCAACTTACTCTACCGATGGTTTCCAAGGTATCAGGATCAATCTGGTTCATGTAGTTGACCTCAGAGGAGGCGTAGTAGTCTTGACCGTAGCGGACGATGTTGATCAAGTTGTTATCCGTGAAGTCGGGTATGATGTTGCTGAGGTGCGTGAAGGCCCTGAAGAGAACTAAAGGTTAACCTGTACAACAAATCTACCAATCCCACATCCGCGTAGAAAACGCTCCCTACTAGACGGACTGAAACGGATCCCTACTTGTCTCCTGGATCAAGAGAGAGATCGGATCTCTATCACATGGACTGTACCTGGAAAAGATGTTTTTGCAGGGATCCGGGTAGATCATGGTTCCAAACTCTGAGACAACTATCCTGTTGGCCTTGATGTTCCTTTTGTACGTCTCACTCTTCAGAAACTTACTCCTGTAGGTCACCTGACCTGCAACAACGACAGGTTAAGCTGACAGCGGTTGACCTCTCCTGCATCCTGGTTTGAGGACGTTCAGAGCACCTCTGTGGTCCTGGTCTCACCCTGGCTGAAGGTGAAGCTGTGAATGAGCGACATGCCGTCGAACCAGTGGTTGTACTCCGAGTCGCCCACGGAGAAAAGACCCGGTCCGTTCCTCAGCAGGGTGCCCTGCAGCCATGGTGGGATGGACCCTGCAGGTCAAAGGTCACACGGGTCAACTTGTTTATCATCAGTGTAAGCAGTCAGTGTTAAATGATCAACTTTGTGGTATTCACAACCGATTTTCTACTTTATGCAAATGTATATTACAGAACGATTTTCCAAATGTGAGTTTCTGTATTAAACCCATTCAAACAAGGGAACAATTCAAAAGTGAAAACATTAAAACACAAAAGAAAATCTTTCTGGTAAAAATAAATGAACTAAAATGACCTGTAGTTTTACTCCTTAGACGTGATAATATCACACACATTATGGAACCATTGGTATATTTTATTGGGTAGAGCCAGTACAGAAATTAGTTTAGTGGTCTTCAAAAGATATTCTACAGCCATCTGAGATTCTTTTAAACTCACCGTTCACCTGAGCTTTCACCGGCTCTGGAGTCTCGAATCCATTTCTTGCAAAAATCGACTGCATGTTCCTCAACCCAAGAGCCTCGAATGCACCTTTTCAAAAGCTGCTGATGTTACGTGGCTTCCTTTGGTCGACTGGGACCTCCAGATGGCCGTGACCTGTAAGCTCAGTGGATTATGTAACCGCTGTGCTGTGGACTTCACTCTGCTTTTCACAATAAGAGTGTGTGGGGTTAGGCCTGCAACCTCTGACCTCATTAACGCGTCACCACACTGAAAGCAACGTAGAAAACAAAATAAGACTTAAAGACTCTAAAAGACGTTAAAACGTACCTTTTGTCAGCATTTACCAGTATTACCTGCATGTGCTTTTAATTTGAAGGAGAACTTGCCGATGTGAAACGGTTCTGCTGAAAGAATTGACTGATTATCTGTGAACAGACAATATATACTATATATGTACATATACAGTTAATTTTCCCACCTTTTACCTTTTTAAATATGATCTAAAGATTGTCATTATTTTTAGTTAAAAGTTCTCTAAAATTACATTTTGAACACGTGTGTGACAACAAAAATCAGCTGAAATAAATGATGTCGGACACACAACAATCGCTCTAATCCTCATATTCTCTAACTTCTAATCATTTATGTTCTTCCAAAAACTCATTTTAACTCCACAGTTCTATATTTCATCAACTAACAAAAACAAATATGCCCCAAAAGATTGATCCTTTTTTTGAAGAACTTGGATCATGATCTTATTTGTAAATGAATCCTTCAGGGTGGAAATTAGATTAGTAGATAAGCTTTGAACTTCAGACTCGTTATCTCCGCTTTGTAATTGGTTAAATCAGTTTACTGCTTGACGGACGCTCTTATCGGGAGCCGACTGCACGTCGCCGGTCGGTCCGATGTATCGATGACTCGTTGTTATGGATCATCAGTGGATTCATCTTTAAACCAAGTTCTGCTAATAGCAGCATATTAAATGTCCTCTTGGTTTGTACAATCAGCCATTTCATCTAAAGTACATGAATGCGTCATCTTTTTTAACCGTAGTTTATGTCTTTATTGAATTGGTTCAATTAAGATCTAATCTGCCTCAATAGCTACATAATAACAATGTAAGTGGCTTTGTGATGTAACATCTGGATTCAAGGATTTAAAGCACAAACAAACGCTGGTTTTGGATGAAAAATGAAGTTTATTACAAACAACGAAGGAGAGCTGTTAGTTCTGTACAAATAACACTGTTGGGTTGGTTAGTTGAGTTATCCCATCGCCAACACGGCTAGGTCTCAACCAGCACCCTAGGGCCTCCCTAGTGCACTACTTTACCTCCTTCAGCATTCATCTCTACTCTGCATCCTTCCTAGGGCACTGCCTCCCCTTCAGGCCCTCCAGTAGTGTGCTTCTCGCCTCCTTAAATCCCCCCTAGTGCACTACTTTACACCCTATGCTCGATCTCGTGCACCCTCCTTGGCGCACTACCTTCCTTGAACCCTTCCTATTTACACCACCCTCTGTGTCGTGGCTGTGCACCACCTTCCAGCCGCTCTTTGCACCCCGTGGGAGTAACACAGGCGAGACGAGAGCAGCACACGCTAGAATAAACGTTACGTAGCAAATGTGTTTCATGACATTTACGTAGTTGTTTCATCTCAGCAGGTTAAAGTCTGGACTTTCTTTTTTTGGCTTGTAAATAAATTGGCTATTCATGCTTTTTTTCTTTCGCTGTTTTACAAGATTTACAAGTCTTCTATAGAATAACGAAAGCAGAGTTCCTCGTGGACGGATCTGAACTCCCGTCTTAAACAATAAGTTGTATCAATAAAGCTCATTGTAACCCGCTGAGACGCACAACAGCCACAGTTTGTTGTCTTTGAACGCAGCTCTCAAAAACACCACCACTGCCCGCTGCACTTGAAGGCAGCGTTCTGCCTAAAGCTCCTTTCATTGGCTCTTCACAGCGCAGCCTAACCCCCCCTAGAGGCCCCTAGTGCCCCCTAGAGGCCCCTAGTGCCCCCTAGTGGCCCCCTAGAGCCTCCTAGAGGCCCCCTAGTGCCTCCTAGTGGCTCCTAGAGGCCCCCTAGTGGCCCCATAGAGCCTCCTAGAGGCCCCCTAGTGCCTCCTAGTGGCTCCTAGAGGCCCCCTAGTGCCCCCTAGTGCCCCCCTAGTGGCCCCTAGTGGCCCCCTAGAGCCTCCTAGAGGCCCCCTAGTGCCCCCCTAGTGGCCCCCTAGAGCCTCCTAGAGGCCCCCTAGTGCCCCCTAGTGGCTCCTAGAGCCTCCTAGAGGCCCCCTAGAGCCTCCTAGAGGCCCCCTAGTGGCCCCCTAGTGCCCCCTAGAGGCCCCCTAGTGCCTCCGACGGGCCCCAAGGCCCCTTAAGGACTGGCTGGTGTCTCAGAATGGCACCGGAGAAGCCGAGAGACAGACAGACAGACACAGAGACGGCTAGAGAGAGAGAGACGGCTAGAGAGAGAGAGACGGGTAGAGAGAGAGAGACGGGTAGAGAGAGAGAGAGACGGGTAGAAACTGATTTTCCGTGTGCGTTGCGGTCGGAGATCTGGTCTATGTACAGGAACAAAGAATGTATAATACCCAAACTAACCATAGCTGCCCACGGGGGGGGCTGTACCAAGGGAAGGGGGCAAGGGAAGGGAGCAAGTGAAGGGGGCAATGGAAGGGAGCAAGGGAAGGGGGCAAGGGAAGGGAGCAAGGGAAGGGGGCAAGGGAAGGGAGCAAGTGAAGGGGGCAATGGAAGGGAGCAATGGAAGGGAGCAAGGGAAGGGGGCAAGGGAAGGGGGCAAGGGAAGGGGGCAGCTCTGGTTAGCTAAAGAGACGAAACAAACTGGTGTCGCGGCGTTGTCATGGCAAAGCTACATCGGACACCAACTAACTGTCCAGTGGAAAAACACACACACAACGTCGTCACAAACACACACACATTCTTCCTCACACACACACATAGAAACAATATGACAACATTTTGTTCTTTTCTATTTCATTTGAAAAACAGCTTCTATTATTCTTAATCATCATAATCAACATAGATAATCTTCATCACCATAGCAGTGTGTGTGTGTGTGTGTGTGTGTGTGTGTGTGTGTGTGTGTGTGTGTGTGCGCGTGTGTGTCCTCAGTCTGTTATAGACACTATTAACAGCAGAGAAAGGTCCCTTCTGATTGGCTGATTCTCTACCACGAGGCTTTCATTCTTCTTTCAGGTATTTATATTTTTCTATTGTCTCTTCCTGGAATCACAGTTTGTTGTCGACGGCGACGATAACGTGGTCACATGGTCTCCCTCCCGCTGACATCACACGGGAGACAGTTTGTGATGTCATTGACTTGCTCTTGGGGGCGGGGCAGTGAACTGGACGTCTGATTGGACGAGGGCGGAGGTGTGTTTTTGGTTGTTGTAGCTCTGGTGGGCGGAGCTTAAAGTCCCTGCTGCTCATTGCAAACATTTAATAATGAATGTTTTATCAATTGCTAACTTTCACAAATTGGTCTGAACTCTCTGAGAAAACGACGGTGGAACCGAGACGTCTCGGACCGTGTTGGTCGTCTTCACCTCCCGCTGCCATAACAGAATTTCCCAGCATGCCCCGTGGCCCGCCGTGACCCGGGGTCGGGGCGTCAGTGCGTGCCCAGCGCGCCCCGGGCCACCCAGCCCTCGGCGGCCGGCGAGTCGCTGTTGGCCGGCCGGTACACCAGACTCTGACCCTGCTGATTGGACGCCAGGATCTGAACCTTCTCTCCACAGAACACGGAGATCTCGTCCTCCCGGACCGCCACGAAGTCCTGCTGCACCAGAACCAGCTCCTGGAGGGGGTGGGGGGGGGGTCAGCATCAAAGTATCTGAACCACGATTCAGGTGTAATGAAGGGAATCCACACCTGGTCTTCCTGCTCGCCGTCCGGAGGAGGTTGGGGGGCGTGGCCGTTGGCCGTCGGTGGGGCTAAGGGCGGTAGCCCTGCTGACAGAGGCCGCGTCACCGAGATCCCGCCCTCCTTCCTCTGGTACTCGATGGGGGACTGAAGCGCTGTGGGGAGCAGAGACATTCAAGTTGACCCCCCTGTCTTGGGGGCCCGAGGATGATTTGCGGGGTTGAAGAACCTCACCTGACAGGAAGTTGTTCTGCGCGTCCAGCAGGGTGCCGATGGTCTCCACCCACGTCTCCTTGACGCCGGCGGAGGGCGCCTGCAGCGTGAAGCGCTCCGCCGAGTCCCGAGACCACAGGACGAACTTGCAGGGTTCCCCGTCCACGCCGTCCTGCATCGCCAGGTAGCTCACCTGCTCGCACACAGACACCGGCCGCGGTCACCCCTGGTACCGACCGCCGCGACGCCACAACCACCACGGCAACCCAGTCCCACCTTGATGCTGTTCTTGAACTGGTAGCCCGGGTTGTTGGAGCCTTTGCGCAGCAGCTCGCTGAAGATGACGATCTGCTCGAAGAGGAAGACTCGGCGCTCTTTGCTGCGAGACAGAACGCCGCCGTCCTGCTCGCCCACGCAGAAGGTCTCCTGCTGCAGCAGCTTGCCCTGAGACGTCAACTTGCCCTGGGCGAGAAAGAGGACTGTCAGCTAGTTGTTGCTAACGCGCTAGCAGACCATGAATGACGTCGCCCCCCGATGGTCCCGCCCCCTCGTGGCTTCACCTCGTAGTCCTGCAGGCGACCCAAGTTCATCATGTCGTTACAGCGCTTTGGCACCAACGACATCAGCTTCACCGCTTTCTGCACACACACACACACACAGACACACACACACAGACACACACAGACACACACACAGACACACACACAGATTCATGTGGACACACACGGACACGCAGACCCGCACTCCTCCCTCCTACGCTCTAACGGAGTCACGCACACACATAGACATGTAGTAACACGCACACTTTAAGTTTCAGAGCGCGGTTCACATAGAAAAACAGATTGGCTACGGACAGCATCCCTTTGACTGACATTCAATCTTTGAGAGCTGCATTCCTCTGAGCTCCGGCGTTACTGAGCATCACGGACACAACACAGCCGGCACTAGAGCCACGTAGTAATGCGGGTGTATTTCGATATTACAGGGTTATCCCCAGCTGACGGTTTGAGGTTTATTTGAAAACACACTAGTATGTAACTCTTTAGTCCTTCCACCTCCGCAAACAGTGAGCCTTCTTTT